AACCTTTTTCAGATTACTTTAAGGTGCGTTTTTGTCAATCAAAGCGTAAAATAAGTCTAAAAATGTCAATTGTTGACCACTTTCTGAGGTAGTAACCATGTGGCAGAGTTTAGCTCCATCTTGCTTCAACACACCTTCCAGGAAGTTGCTTGATTTGCTGGTTCAGGTGTGCTTGATTAAGGTTGAGGCAAAACTCTTCAAGACACCGGCCCTCCAGGACAGAGTTTGGACACCCCTGACCAACACCCTACACCCTAAATCCTAGTTCCCACACTCTGTTATTGCTAAACGAAGTGTGCACACCAAATATAAAAATTTATCAAAACAATTAAGGGAAAGCTCACTGTCCACTTAGGTTTCCTCTGGGTTCTCCGGTATAGGTGAATTGAATGAACGTAGTGTATGAGTGCACGTGTGAATTTGAGAGTGTATGGTTGTTTCCCAGTAATGGAATAGCATCCGCTGTGTAAAACATATGCTTGAATAGTTGGCGGTTCATTCCGCTTTGGCGACACCTGATAAATAAGGGACCAAGCCGAAGGAAAATTGATGAAAAGATTTAATGAAATGCTTTAAATGGACGGGGGATGATATTTGTTTGTATCTACAAAAACAACACATCTAAACCATTCTGCAGCGTCTGTCTGAAATCAGCTGTTAAAAGACCACAAAACATGACCATGCATCATCCAGCCTTTTGGCAATCTGCTTATGTAGACAGTCACGTCGAGTCCAAACCACATCTGAAGCGGAAACATGGAGACCACTATGATGAGCTCCAGCCAAACAAAAACACCTCAACATGACCAGCGCTCTTCAACACTGCCTGTGATGGTCAAAGGTCATTCAGGCACTCTAATGTTTGTTTATGGTTGACAAAGAGACGAAGAGAGGAGGCGTGGCTGAGAGATCCCCAGGGATGACTTCAAAGATCTTCAAAGTAATCCTGAACTCTCTTCAGGCACACCATGGACTGCATTATTGAGTGGGAGTAAATCTAACTGTGCTTGATTAAAGCCATAAAAAACAAATATTTCTCAAGGATGCAAGTTTGCCAGCTTCCAAGGTTGGAAGCATCCTATTAGGAAGGTTGGTCGTTGGGCTTTGTTGGTCCAGCTAGTTTGGTTTGGTGTGTTCCACATGTTGCCTCTCGTCTGAGCTTGTTAGCCTGCTTGTAAGCCGGCAGCTAGCTCACTGCAACTCTCACAACTCTCACTGCACCTGGTCAGTACCTGGGTGGGAGACCACATGGGAAAGCTAGTTTGCTGCTGGAGTTGGTGTTAGTGAGGCCAGCAGAGGGCGCTTAACCTGTGGTCTGTCCGGGCCATAATGCCCCAGTATATTGATGGGGACTCTATACTGCTCAGTGAGTGCTGTCTTTCAGATGAGATGTTTAATCCTGACTCTCTGTGGTCGTTAAAGATCCCAGGATGTCCTTTAAAAAAAAGAGTAGGGCTTTAGGCCTTGCATCCTGGTCAAATTTACCCATTGGCCTCTGTCCATCATGGCCTCCTAACCCTCCCCTTATCCTAATTGGCTTCATCACCATGTATCCTCTCCACCAATCAGCTGGTGTGTGTGGTGTGCAGTCTGGCGCAATATGGCTGCCGTCGGGTCATCCAGATGGATGGTGCACACTGGTGGATGAGGAGACTCCCCCCCCCCCCCCCCCCAAAAAAAAATGTGTAAAGCGCTTTGAGTGTCCAGAAAAGCGCTCTATATAATTATAGGGAATTTATTTTTGATTCCGCATGTCAAATCGGCTAACTAGAGCACTCTGACTGGGTATTCGCCAACGAATCAGAGCATGTGAATGACGTAATTAAGTGACAGCAAGTAAACAATTCAGGCCAAGAAGGAACATAAAGAAGCCTGACTGTAAGTTGGGTGAACCACATATTTCGCAGAGCTAACAGCAAGACAGTTTCTTCCATCGTGACTAGTGTGGCGCGGATGCTAGAACCAGCCTTTGCACATGTGCGACGTTGTAAATTGTATACCAAGTGTAATCGGGCATCAAGACCTGACAGTGTAAATGGAGCCTATGAGAATATTCATCCATGATTGATAGTTTAACAGCCATATAGTGAGGTAAAGAGCTCAATATTTATGGACAGACATAATAATACTTAAGATTGCGCGATTGCACACCTAAATTCAGACGACGGCGCTCACACCAGCTAAACGTACCGAACTAAAATGGAGGTATTATGAAGTTGATATGACTAGGGATGGGTACCGAAATTCGGTACTTCATCGGTATCGACTGAAGTATCAAAATCATTTCAAAGTTGGGTGAACCACATATTTCGCAGAGCTAAAAGCAAGACAATTTCTTCCATCGTGGCTAGTGTGGCGCGGATGCTAGAATCAACCTTTACGTATGAGCGACGTTGTAAATTGTATACCAAGTGTAATCGGGCATCAAGACCTGACAGTGTAAACGGGGCCTATGAGAATATTCATCCATGATTGATAATTTAACAGCCATATAGTGAGGTAAAGAGCTCAATATTTATTGATAGGCATAATAATACTTAACGATTGTGCGATTGCACACCTGAGTTCAGACGACGGCGTTCACGCTAGCTAAATGTACCGAACTAAAATGAAGGTATTATGAAGTTGTTGACGATTAGGGATGTGTACTGAAACTCTGTACTTTATCAGTATCGGTGCTACATTATAAAAGACTGTAGTATCAAAATCATTTTAAAGTTGGGTCTAGGGTTGTAACAATATACCGGTATGACGGTCTACCACGATTTGAACGTGCACGATTATCATACCATGAACAATTTCATATCAACGGTTTTAACCCTTAAAGACCGAGACAGCCGCCCGCGGCTAAAAATAAGTATTGCTTTTAAATGTTTAATAACTTTTGATCCGCTGATCCGATTCATACAATTCAAAGATTGGCATAAAGAAGAGAATCCCAGCTTTCCAGTGCTGTATCACATAACACTACACTGTGACTTTCAGAGGCTCCGGAATCAGTGCGGTTACGTCATCAAAATTTGACCACGCTGATTTGACAAAGAAACGCTCGTCACTGTGACTCCGGACAAACCAGACATGATACATTGATGCATTGTCCCTCCTCCATGCCCAGATTGGTTCAAACTCGCTATATCACAACCAATAAGCATAGGTTTCGCTTTTGTTTGTGGACCAAACAATGAGCTTTTTGAACAACACGGAATGAGAGATAGGCATACATTTATGCGCGGCTAAATAAAACGCAAAAAAAAAAAGTTTTGCATGAAATAATTCTCATACTAAGTACTTTTGCATGCACAGCAGCACAGAAACATGACAAAACAGTGACACAGCAAAGACGAACTGCTGCGCAGACAACCATATCCAAATCCATATCCACAGACAACCATATCCATGCTGGCACATAAAACCTAAGGATGTTCCATATTGAATCTAGTTTTGTTATGTAACTATTTATAGTATAGTAAATATTTATATCTATTTTTTTACTGATGATTTGCACCATGTTTATTTGGACTTTATTTGGACTTTGACACATTATTTATTATTTTCTTATTTTTATTTGTTCATTGTAAGTGGTGTTGTTTATAGTAACTAAAAATATATTATTTGGAAAAAGTCAAATATGCTTCACTGTTCTATTATTTTGTAACATTTGTAACATACCGTATACCGCGAAACCGTCAAACCGTGGTATTGTTTTAGACGATTATCATACCGTAAAAAATTCATACCGTTACAACCCTAGTTGGGTCAACTTTACATATTTCGTAGAGCTAAAAGCAAGACTTCCATATTGTGTGGCGCAGATGCTAGAACCAGCCTTTACGCATGTTCGACTTTGTAAATTGTAAACCAAGTGTAAACACAAGAATCAGATATGGGTCACAATTAAAAGAACGTGTAAACAGACAGGCAAAATAATCACACTTAAGGAAACCAATCGAAATTGGGCATCAAGACCTGACAGTGCAAACGGAGCCTATGAGAATATTCATCCATGATTGATAGTTTAACAGCCATATAGTGAGGTAAAGAACTCAATATTTATGGACAGACATAATAATACTTAATGATTGCGCGATTGCACACCTGAGTTCAGACGATGGCGTTCACACCAGCTAAACGTACCGAACTAAAATGGAGGAATTATGAAGTTGATGATAACTAGGGATGGGTACCGAAATTCGGTACTTCATCGGTATCGGCGCTACATTGTAAAACACCGAAGTATCAAAATCATTTCAAAGTTGGGTGAACCACATATTTCACAGAGCTAAAAGCAGGACAATTTCTTCCATCGTGGCTAGTGTGGTGTGGATGCTAGAATCAACTTTTACATATGAGCGACGTTGTAAATTGTATACCAATTGTAATCGCGCATCAAGACCTGACAGTGTAAATGGGGCCTACGAGAATATTCATCCATGATTGATAATTTAACAGCCATATAGTGAGGTAAAGAACTTAATATTTGTTGATAGGCATAATAATACTTAACGATTGTGCGATTGCACACCTGAGTTCAGAGGATGGCGTTCACGCTAGCTAAATGTACCGAACTAAAATGAAGGTATTCAAGACAATTAGGGATGTGTACTGAAACTCTGTACTTTATCAGTATCTGTGCTACATTATAAAAGACTGAAGTATCAAAATCATTTTAAAGTTGGATCAACTTCACATATTTCGCAGAGCTAAAAGCAAGGCAGTTTCTTCCATATTTTGTGGCACAGATGCTAGAACCAGCTTTTACTCATGTTCGACGTTGTAAATTGCATACCAAGTGTAAACACAAGAATCGGATATTGGTCACAATTAAAAGAACGTGTAAACGGACAGGCAAAAAAATCAGTTATAGGAAACAAATCGGAATTGGGCATCAAGACCTGACAGTGCAATGAGAATATTGAGTCAATATGAGAATATTCATCCATGATTGATTGTTTAACAGCCATATAGTGAGGTAAAGAACTCAATATTTATGGACAGACATAATAATACTTAATCTTTTCTTTATATTATTACAAAACTTTACACGTACAATGGCTAAACTCCACACTTTGTGGAAGAAACAGACAAAAATATAGTCAACAAAATAAACAACAAAGAAAATAAAGGTTTCTCATCCAAAAAAAAAGGCATAAATAATATAAAAGAAACTTTTTTTCTTACAACAGATACATTCATATGAAATAATATTTTACTACTACAAAAAATAAATAAGTCATCTAAAGAGTTTTTTTGTGTTGACTTTTTTTTTAACGTCCTCCCATGATCGGGATCGTTTCAGTCTTTGATTCCACCAATATCTTCATTCGTTTCATCTCCAGCAGTCAGTTAGTGTCCACTTCAAGTCACAACAATGTCTCTGACCATTCCAACACTGGGAGCATCCTTTATTTATTCGACTGCCTCTCTTGTTTCTCTTTTTTTTTTCAGCGTTTATGCGCGTTGTTGAACAATGTGTTCAGATCTCCTGCACGGTGGGCTGGATGAGATCTCCAGTCAGGCTTCCAGTAGAGATCCAGGCTGTTTTCTCCTTACAGTCTAGATCCAGTCCCAGCCGTTCCCAACACACCACAGGACCCTCCGAGTCTTCATGCTGTACCTGCTGAACTCCTGTTACACACGCAGCGAGAGAGAAAATACTAAATTATACACCAGTACGCAGGAGTCTAGTCAGGTCAAATAATATTGCATGATGGGTAATTTACAGTTTGCCAATGCAGTAATTTCCTGAAGAGCCAGAAGAAACACAGACTTTCCTCATGCGGAGTGAATCAGAGAGCTCTTTATACTGCAGGTTTCACTAAGGCAAGACTTTCACCTCTTTATATTGAGTCAAGAGTGGCTCAGTGGTTGGCACTGTCGCCTTACTGCAAGAAGATTGTTGGTTTGAGTCCTGGCTGGGTCAGTTTGCATGTTCTCTCTGTGTTGGTGTGGGTTTTCTCTGGGTGCTCCGGTTTCCCTCACATTCCAATCACATGTGCTATAGGTTAATTGAATAAACTAAATTGGCTGTAGTGTATGTGTGTGAAAGTGTGTGTATGGGTGTTTCCCAGTACTGGGTTGCAGCTGGAATAAGTAGGCGGTTCATTCCGCTGTGGCAACCCCTGATGAATAAAGGGACTAAGCCAAAGGAAAATGAATGAATGATATTAAATCCAATTTAAAAGTGACCATTTATGCAAAAATCCCTCATTAGCCCGTAAACAGCCCTGAGTAAGAAGCAGTCGTCCGCCATTAGGGTTTTCACCTGCTGACGATAATGTCTGGTGGTGTAATGGATAACAAGTCTGAGGGTTCAGATAACGCTATGGTTTTTTAGGATGCTTTTACACTTGGTTCAATAGCCTAGACCAGTGTTTCTTAACATTTTTAGTGGGTCGTGGAGTGTGTGTTAAAAAAAAAAACAACAAAAGTTAAATTTTTACTTATTTTTGCTTATATCGCTTATATTTTTGCTTATATCGGACTTTTATTTTGAAATGCATGCGCGACAACCCTACTGTTTGACATGAGAAATTTCATTTAATTATTGCAACAAATATGTCAAGCGTAAGTACAACCCTGAATATGTAAAATATGGATATATATTGACAACAAAAAAGACTTAAAGCCTCAGTGTCATATGTAGTGAGGTGCTCTCATGAGAGCATTAAACCTTCTAAATTAAAACAACATTTAGAAACCAGAACACACGTTTTATTAACAGTTTATTATTAACAGTATTTGTCGTTTTTACTTTGTAATATTTCTATAATTTGATCCATTTTGTTTTATTCATGATTTATCTGTCACTACTTGTTTATGTTAACAAATAAATAAAAATTAAGCATAATTCCTAAAATTGTTTAATAGTTCCTAAAAAATTTGGGTCACGGCTTGATGACCATGTAAAAATGTGGGTCCCATGGCCAAACCAGTTGAGAACCCCTGGCCTAGACCATAGCCAAGATTGATTGCCACCTTCTCGGCTGGTTTGTGTTCACACTGTCTTTTTTCCTTCTGAACCCCAGTACGCTTGAATCATCAAGCTGCAGTCGTTCTGCTTTTACTGAATCTTTTGGTTTTGGACATACAGAAAGCGACTCTTTTTGGAGGAGACGAGCCGACATTATTACTGTGTTTGCCCTGGCTCAGTCCCGCTTGTTAGCAAGGTACAGTATGTGATACACAGACAATTTTAGTCCATGTTTTGCCTGAGTTTGTATTGCATTTACATGGTTTTGACCAGCAGGTGTCTCTAATTGGTTCAATTGTTTTTGAGCTTTGAAAAGCTTCGTGTCTCTCATCACTACTGACAAGACTTTAAAACACAAGCCAGAGTTCGGTTTATAAAAGGCACCACCCTCTTCCAGTAAGGCAAGGGGTAAAATAAAAAGCTAATTTGCATTTAAAGAGCCATACACGTGGTATATAGTAATGATGGTATTTTGAGCTAAAAACTTCTCAAACACACAGGAATGAGCGATAGTTTTTTTGTACTGTTGACGGTTCACTTCCATAATTTAGTACGATTGCATTCATACTAGTAGTGAATCGGACCCTCTTTCAGCCTTACTTGTGTACGGTTCATGGGTGCGCACATGAGTTTAGAAGACAGCGTTAACACTAGCTAAACAAACTGAACTCAAATGGAGGTATTATGAAGTTGATGACGATTAGGGATGGGTACCGAAACTCAGTACTTTATTGGTATTGGTGCTGCATTATAAAACACTGAAGTATCGATAAGCTCTGACGTTAATGTTTCTGCTATCGGTACTGGAGAATTAATGCTGAATAGACATTACTTACAGTAGCATGATTTAACTGACCAACCTTTAATTTGCGATATTTAATATTCTTCTGCACATCTCACATGAGAAATGCTCGAGTGTCCGGCGAACGTGTCAAGTAAAACGCCCGATTCACACAATGTTCTTATTTAAATGCATTTTGGAACTCAAAGAGGGTATTTTTAACTGCAGGGAGCACAATAAACCAAGAAAAATCAAGACTTCTGCCAGAAAAGGCAAACATGTTGATATTTTCCAGAATAATGGTTAAAAACATAATAAAGTCATTTGCCTTCAAACCATTGTACATTTTTTAAGGAAAAAAAAAATATTTAAATGTTTTACAATATTGGTTTCGTTTTATTTTACATTAAAAACAAGATAATAAAATAAAAAAGTACCGTTTAGAGAACCATTAAAGTACCGAACCGATAAGTGGTATCGATAAAAGTAGTAATACTGTTAAAAACCTAACGATACCCAATCCCTAATGATGACAACATTGCCATAGAATACTGTGAGATTTGTAAACTTAGGATTGCTTGCCGGGTATTTTAAATTGAGGAGCTATTTGTTTTTATATTACATATTTTACTGTTGCGCTAACGTTCAATAGTGAAGAATTGATGTTATTTATTACTTGATTGATCAAGCTACCTCACAGAAGTGCCCTGTTAACAGAGTTGTTGAATGTTAAAATAAGGTGAATTAAATAAAAGATAAAGAGCATCCTGGATCTGTTTCTTCGATCTTTATATTTTAATGTATTTTTGAAGTATCGGATCGGATTTTAGTATCGATACATACTCTAAATCAAATGACTCTTGACTCAAGGGGAAAAAAACCCTGATCGGAACATCTCTAGTATGAACAAACCATTAACTAACACTACTAGCTTAATAAACTACTAGCTGTTTATTAATAGTTAATAAGGTAGAAGTTGGGTTTAGGTTAGGATTAGTGACACATAATGAGATCATACTTCATAACTACTAATGAACAGTTAATATCTTATTAATAATAAGCCAGTACTTAATAACATGAATCGTGATCTGAATTAAGTGTTACCAATTTTTTTTTAATGATTTGTAAAAATTTGCTGTTTGTAACTTTCTTACCTCTCTGCTGCTCCAGGCTGGACTTTGTTTCCACAGGCAAGCAGGGGGAATTGTGAGACAGGGGCGGCACGTTGCCCTCCTCCGCCTGTTGGACTGAGTCTCTGTCCTGGCAGCCGTTGAGCTGTGGACTGTCACGTCCATGGCAGCGGGACAGGATGGGGTTGAGGGGCATCATTTCCAGGCCATCGGGTTGGCGAGCTGCCACGCGGTGCATTAGTGGAAGAGTGCCGCCGGAGAAAGTGCCATTGGTTTTTGTGTAACACCTGTCGATGAAGTACAAAGGGAAAGCATAAATGATGGCCGCCGCACGTGTCGAGGATTAAACGTAGGCTTTCTTCATTAAAAAACTTAAAGCTGACCTTTTTTGAGGTATTAAAAACAGGGATAACCATGTAGTGGTCAATCTTTACAATAAGGTTTCGTTAGTTAATGTAGATGATAATGTAAACGAACAATACTTCTACAGCATTTATTAATAATCATAGTTCAACATTTACAAATGCATTATTACAATTCTAAATTGATTGTTAACATTAGTTAACGCACTATGAGTTAACATCAACTAACAACTGTATTTTCATTAATTAATGTTAACAAAGATGTAATAACGTATTGTTCACTGTTTGTTCATGTTAGTACATACTTTTTTTTTTTATTTCCCAAACAATGTTTAACAGAGCAAGAAAATGTTCACAGTATGTCTGATAATATTTTTTCTTCTGGAGAAAGTCTTATTTGTGTTATTTCGGCTAGAATAAAAGCAGTTTTTAATTTTTTAAAAACAATTTTAAGAACGAAATTATTAGCCTCTAAGCTAATTTACTTTTCAATAGTCTACAGAACAAACTATCGTTATACAATAACTTGCCTATTTACCCTAACCTGCCTAGTTAACATAATTAACGTAGTTAAGCCTTTAAATGTCACTTTAAGCTGTATAGAAGTGTCTTGAAAAACTTCTAGTAAAATATTATTTATTGTCAATAAAGTAAAGTAAATCAATTATTATTTAGAGATGAGTTATTATATTATGTTTAGAAATGTGTTGAAAAAAAATCTTCTCTCCGTTAAATAGCAATTGGGGAAAAATATACAGGCTAATAACTCAGGGGGGCTAATAATTCTGACTTCAACTGTATATGCATTGTCATAGTAGTATTTGCTGTTGTTCTGCTGTGAAGTCACAGAAATTACCCATTTCTTAAAAAAAAACAAATTTTGTGAGTTGACAAAGCACATGGTTAAGACAAAACTCAATTTAACACGGAAAGATACATTTGATTACATTCGATGTTATGATGCTGCGAACTGTGCGAACACATTGTAAAAAGACAAATGCTACGTTAGCAATTAGCTTAAATAACGCAAGCTCATTTCTCAGGATTTATCAGGTATGCATTTGACATACATGTCAATATTTAGTTCATTCGATAAATGTTTGATAACGTTTCTTTAGAATTTCAAATAAAATATAATAATATACTAAAAACAGCAGCATGAACATTGTTTTGAATGTCTCCTGTTTCTTAAAGTCTAGCAGATTTGAACTATGATGCTGTGTGTGTGTTTTTTTTTTTGTTTTTTTTTGGTGAATGTTTGTTTGATTACACTTTTCTACTCCATCTTAAGCCTGTGTGCCAGCTGTAACAAGCATCTCTGCTATGTGCCAGCTCTGATCGCATCTCAGATCACAGATTTATTTCCGCGAGCCTCTACGCTGAATGAGCAGACTCAACAGCCTGTGTCTCTGTGTGTTTGCACAGGCCGATAACACACAAACACGCACACACACATATAAACAAACAATACCTGAGAGACAAACACACACAGATCCCTGTATGCTCACTCAAGAAGTAATCAGGGAGATTAAGTGTACACAGATGCACAAGGCGAGGGTATATTCATTTATTCAGAGCATTTTCCTTTTCACAATTGGAAATGATGGCATGGCCACTAACATTCTGAAAATATTTAGAAATTTTACGAGACCACTTGAAATTTTTTTGGGTTTACTTTATTGGTTTATTTATTGGTATTGGATTTGATTGATTCAACCCGGCTTATTCTGAAAACGTACCCCTATATACATTTCTGAAGAGCGAAATACGGGAGGAACGTTTTTTTTTTGCAGTTTTTGTGTTCGAGAATCCACCAGAGGCTGCTGTGTACGCTTTTTAAGATCTCAAATTTCTCTTGCGAATGCCATTTGCGCCTGCTGTTCTTGCATAAATCCACCAGAGACCACTGTCGACTGACTGACCCACCCTCCTCCTTCTCTAGACCCAACCAATAGTGTTTTTAAATGCATCGATGGACTTGCCCACCCACTTCCCTAAACTCAACCGACAATTTAGAAAACCAATCCAGTAAAACAAAAGCCCTCACCTGATTTTTGCCACATTTTCAGATTTTACCACATTCTCACTCTGTTATTTGCTTGTTTATTTTATTTTTTGGCTTCTGTTTTTGTCTTTCTCCCTTTCTGGAATCATTTTTCGTCAGACTCGAACCCCGCCATCGTGGTCAGCTCCTCTCTGTGTCTAAAGTCTGCCGATGTACATAGTGAGCTACTGGACAAACTGGTAACTGGTAATAGGGAGGTAAGCGGTCAGCTGCTAAGCGAGAAAAGGAACGGTGTCATACCGCCCTATATCGTTCGTTTTTATAGACCAAACGCAGCCATATGTACTTCTGGTTACATAATTCTTGATCTCCAGAAATGTATATAGGGCTACATTTTCAGAATGAGCCAATGTTGGATTTATTGGTGTGTTTTTTAAATAAAATTTTCATTTTTTTTTAGCTCTACAAAGATCAAAAAACTAAATTACTATAAAACTATATGAATATGTAAGTAAACATTGTCATGTAGAGCGATATTTTTTTAAGAAAATGATGATCATGTTTTAATGTTTTGCGATTGAAATTTAGGGTTATTCCACCAATGTTTTTTAAGTAACAAGTAACACTTCTGAAGTTTAAACATTAGATTGACATTAGCCCCTTTCACACATATAGACCTTCCTGGAAAATTACCAGCAATTTTCCGGAAAGGTCTGTATGTGTGAACTGATCCATTTTGAAAATACCGGTAAATTCATTCCGGCTATTTTCCGGAAAGAGAAGTTGTAACATTACCAGTAATCTGCTGGAATGCTGCGCTGTATGAATGCAGAAGGAAGATTGTCGGAAAGAGTGCGTGCACGTCTAGAACATGCTGACGGGAGTGTACCAATCAGTACACTCAGACGCATTCACGTCTGCGCGGTTTATGAGAATAAAACCCTTTGAATATTTTCCCACATTTAGCTGCTAGAAGTTAGTCAGATAACATTTATATGTTCTTCTTAATGCCAACTGTGTAAATAATTATCGATACAAGGCTTATGATAAGCCGTTGTTTGTTTACCTTCAAGCTTTGCGTGTGCCCATGAAACAGCCCGTGAGCACCAGCACACACACATATTATGTACATCTCGACATGCAAAAGTGTTTCTCTTTATGTTTTCATTGGAGTTGTTCACAATACTGATCCATCCACAGAGTTTGTAATGTTGTCAAATGTTTACAAATACAAGCGCAGCCGTTTAAAGCTCATTTCTGGTTAATGATGTCAGAATTTACCGGTATTTTGAAATGGATGCGTGAATGGTCTTTTCTGGAAAAATTACGTAACGTCTTCGCCTGTGTGAACAGCGCTTTTTTGAATTTACCGGTAAAGTCGTCTCGGAAGTTTTCTATATATTTACGGTATCATTGTGTGAAAGGGGCTATTGTCTAAAAATGAAAATAAGTATGCCTGAATGACATCTTTTTGTCATTTCATAAAAAATCTCTAATGGCAATTATTCCAAACTTGCAAGAACTGTAATCAGTAAGTTGCATAATTAAAAAAAAAAGCTTTTTGCTCAAGCACATACAGTTGAAGACAAAATTAATTTGTTTCTTTTTTAAATATTTCCCAAATTATAATTATCAAAACAAGGAATTTTACACAGTACTTCCTATAATATTTTTTCTTTAAGAGAAAGTCTTATCTGCTTTGATTTGGCTAGGAGAACCCCAGTTTTTTTTTTTTTTTTTTTGCTAAACATTTTAGGTTTTAACTCAATATTATTAGTCCTCTTAACCCTTTAACTACCCCCTAAGAAACAAAAATTTGGATTGCAACACATCCCATAATTTCTAAAATGTCAGCCTCTAACAAATGGTTGATATGCTGGTTTATGGTAAAATACTGGATTTAATACATATACTATGAAAAATCTGAAAATATGATGTGTAAGACCAATTTATTTGAAAAATATTAAAAATGAAACATTTTTAAACATTAAATCACTTTTATTTTTTTTAAGTATACCATCAAATATTTCAGATTCTCATTTAACATGTTTTTTTTTTTTTTTTAACAATAAAACGAAAATCATGTAGTAATGTAACTGGATTGTTGATTGTTTCCAGTTGTGCCCACCATCTTAATGATCTGTTGTTTAAATGTGTTTCAACTATTTTTATCTCTATTACAAAAAATTTTAGCCTAATTTGTAAATATTCTCTTTCAACATCTATATGATCATGTCTATTTTAGTACTTTTTAACTATGTTTGATTGATTGTATAATTTGTGGATTGTTTTTTCTAGGTTGTTCAGGGACAACAGATGAAAAATAGCCTTCGGGCTAATTCTGGTGCATTGGCAGAAAAGCTAATTAATGTACACTGTCCCTGCCAAATAAACAAATAAATAAATAAATAAACAAATTTGATTTGTTTTGTAAACCAACAATGCTATGTGTGTAAACCATTATTTAAAACAGTCATTCTTTAAATGATTTTAACAGTCATTACTCAAAACATTGTCAACCATTTGGTAGAGCGGCAGTCAATGGATTAAGCAATATTTTTTGATTGTCTTCATAACTAACCATCGTTATACAATGATTTGCCTGATAACCCTAACTTGCCTAATTAACCTAGTTAAGCCTTTAAATGTCATTTAAGCTGAATACTAGCATCTTGAAAAATATCTAGTCAAATATTATGTGCTGTCATCATGGCAAAGATAAAAGAAATCAGTTATTAGAAATGAGTTATTAAAACTATCATGTTTAAAAATGTGTTGAAAAAAATATTTCTGTTAAACAGAAATCAGGTGACAAAAATATACAGAGGAGGGCTAAAAATTCTGACTTCAACTGTAATTATAAATCATAAATCCATCCATCTATAGTTTTATATAAAAGCGCTCTATTTTCAAGGCTCGAAATGCAAGGCATTTACCAAAAGTTGTCCGTTTGAAAATGAAAATGCGCTATTATAAACGCAGCCTTAGACTAATATGAGCTGCATTCAGAAGCATTTCCCTCAACTCTCCTGCTGGCTGTGGCTAAATAAACACTGCGCTCATTAAGACTGTAGCGAGGTTGCGTTCAGTGTAAACTGTGACTGCCGGACACACTAGTGTACACAAACAAGCCCGTCGTGTACTTGTGTGTGTGTGTGTTTAGAATAAGCTCAGGTCAGGGGTGAAATGAGAAGCAGATGGAACAGATGATTGGTTTGCTGACTTGGAGGCGCGCTGAGCAAAACATAATTCTGCAGGCATGTAAACAGCAAACATTAACAAGCTACTGGGCTTGGCTTTTGCAGTATCCCATTTCTCATTCTCTCACCTGTTGTTGTTGCAGAAGTTCTGACAGCTCATGCAGTCGGACGAGTCGTTCTGGGGCAGAGCCGTGTATATTCCTCCACCCTGATATAAACAAATAAATAAACACACATTTAGCACAAGCTGGATTTGGCTTCTGCTATAGAACAGTCGCTACATTGTAATACACTGTGGTGGGTGTGGGGAATTTGGGCCATTTCTATGCAGAATTTTGTTAAAAATCCAACCCAGGCTTATTATGGATACAAAACCCAGTGTATACAATTCTGGAGAGCGCAAAATACATCCCAGGAGGTACGTTTTTGGCAGTTTTTGTTTTTTTCAGATCTCAAATTTCTCTAACGAGTGCCATTCGCACCTGCTCTTCTCACATAAATCCACCAGAGGTCGCTGAGTACGCTTTTTCAGATCTCAAATTTCTCTCGCGAGTGCCAGTCGCACCTCCTCTTCTCATGTAAATTCACCAAAGACTGCTGTGTGCGATTTTTCAGATCTCAAATTTTTCTCGCGAGTACCATTTGCACCTGCTCTTCTTGTGTAAATCCACCAGAGGGCGCTTTGTAAGCTTTTTCAGATATCAGATTTCTTCCGCACCTGCTCTTCTCACGTAAATCCACTAGAGGTCGCTGTGTCTGCTTTTTCAGATCTCAAATTCTTCTCGCGAGTACCATTCGCACCTGCCCTTCTCGCGTAAATCCAGCAGAGGCCGCTGTGTACAATTTTTACAGATCTCAACTTTCTCTTGCGATTACCATTCGCATCTGCTCTTCTCGTGTAAATCCACCAGAGGCCGCTGTGTACACTTTGTCAGATCTCAAATTTCTCCTGCGAGTGCAATTTGCACCTGCTCTTCTCCTGTAAATCCACCAGAGGCCGCTGTGTACGATTTTTCAGATCTCAAATTTCTCTCGCGAGTGCCATTCGCACCTGCTGTTCTCTCGTAAATCCACCCGAGGCCTCTGTGTACGATTTTTCAGATCTCAAATGTCTTTCGCGAGTGCGATTCCCATCTGCTCTTCTTGTGTAAATCCACCATTGGTACATTGATAAATAACTAGACTCAGTAATAGGACAAAAATAAATAAATGTGTGGGCACGTGTGTCTTTTTTTGATGCTTAAAGGAATAGTTCACTTAAAAAAATATCATAATTTAGTCACCCAACTAAATACCACATCATTGTACATGAAAGTTCAAAAACATCTAAAAAATGAGAATTGAGCAACAACAAAAAAAGATGCAAAAACCTCTAAAATTAGCATTTTTCTTAGCCTCCTCTGTGTATGTTCAGTATTTTAAAACTTATGGCAAAGAATATGTTCTTTTCTTTCCTTTTAAAGTAAAAAAAACACACAAACTATACAATCTGACAAGTTTTGACGCCAATCCAAGTTTTAGGAACAACATATAATAACTTGACTTTTGTGATCATTTGGTATCACAAGTGGCTTAAATGAAAGGCAAAGGCCTCTAAATTACGCTTATTTTACCAAAATAAAATATGATCATGCCTTGATTTTTAAGGATTTAATTAGGACAGTAAGGTCTGACTTTGTATAGACAAAAGTCTTTTCACTTAACATAAATAATGTCCAGTATAGAATATAAAGTCATGCTGCCGTGGAGAAAGAATTAATATTGTGCATGACTCCCATGAGCTTGGAGGACTGCATCTAATAAATTATTAATGAAGTCATCTAAAATGGCAAAGAAAGCATTCTTGCAGGACTTCTATGGATTCATCTTCAATGCCTCAATAATCTTCATGGCTGGAGACTGGGCTGGCCAATCCTGGAGCACCTTCACCTTCTTTGCTTTCAGGAACTGATGTGGAGGATGAAGTATGAGAAGAAGCGCTATCCTGCTGAAGAATTTGCCCTCTCCTGTGGTTTGTAATGGGCAGCACAAATGTCTTGATACCTCAGGCTGTTGATGTTGCCATCCACTCTGCAGATCTCTCGTACACCCCCATACTGAATGTAACCCCAAACCATGATTTTTCCTTCACCAAACTTGACTGATTTCTATGAGAATCTTGGATTTATGCAGGATCCAATAGGTCTTCTACAGTAACGGATGATTCATCAGAAAAATCGACATTCTGCCATTTTTCCAAATAATCAACTAGAAGTCAAGTTATTATGGCTCTTAAAACTGGAATCAACGACAAGACTTTTGTCAGGTAAGTGTATAGGAGGTTGAGAAAAAAATCCTTTTAGAAGAAAATTTCAGACGGCACTTTTAGATGTTTTTCCATCTGAACTCCTCCCATAGTCTTTTAAAACATTTATCTGATGGTTTACAGTCAGAGTAAGTCCCACAATTCACACTAAGCATCATAAGGCACAGGAAAAAGTTAAAAGTTCATCAAACAGAAATGAAATCCATCCACATGTACTCACGTTGTGTAGGTGATGAGGGGACGGGTGCTCGTATTCCATGTTATTTTGGTGTAGCGAGGTGTCGTGTGCGTGAGGGTGTCCAGCAGGGTACAGGCCTCCTGATCCGTTCAGCAGAGCCAGTCCGTTGGGCAGTTTGTGATGGAGATGATGACAGGTCTGGGGCATCATGGGAGCCGTGTGTCCGCACCCCGTGTGCACACTGCCATTCACATGACTGGAGCCGGGCAGAGCAGAATAATCCAGAACATGGCCGTTCATCTCCGCTGACTGGTAGATGTAATTTGGAGGGTCGTATTCTATGAAGAAGATATATTTTTATTCCATTAGTATATTTTTAGTATAGAATTAATAGCTAGTGCATGCTCAAATTACTTGCAATTTATTTTCTGTAATTATTATGAGCAGAGTTCAAATGTATTTTTTGCTTAGATAAAGTTGCATAGATTTTTTTTTCCAAATAGACAGTAAGAACAGCAATATTAGGAGATATTATTTCAATTTAAAATTCATATTTTACAATTCATATAATAATAATAATAATAATAATAATAATAATAATAATAATAATATAAAATCTACTCCGGTGCTTCAAAGCAGTCATTGCTCCAATTTTTGTGTCAAGTTTTTTATTAAAATCTTTTTCTATTTCAGTACTTTTTAAAATAAATAAAATCTATTAAAATAAAAAAATCATCTCTAAATATGATCTAAATTATATAACAATAATAATAATAATAATAATAATAATAATAATAATAATAAAATCTACTTCTGTGATTCAAAGCAGTCATTACTCCAGTTTTTTGTGTCGTGATGCTTTTACATCCAATTTTGTTAATTTAAAATGATATTTTTTTCCTATTTCAGTACTTTTAAAAGGAAATTAAGTCTATTCAAATAGATGAATAATCTCAAAGTAAAATCGAAATTATATAATAGTAAAATAAAATGTGCTTCTCTGATACAAAGCAGTCATTGCTTTAATTTTTTGTGTCATTCTATAACCACTTTTCGATTTAAAATTTCAGTTTTTTTCTATTTCAGTACTTTCAAAATGTATTAAAGTAAATAAAAAAAATCTCTAAATAAAATTAAATGTTTATAATAATAAAATACAATTTATTTTTTGTGATTAAAAGCAGTCATTACTCCAGATTTTAGTGTTAAATGATCCCTCTACAACCACTTTTCAATAAAAAAAATTCATTTTTTTCTTTTTCAGTACTTTTTAAAATAAATAAAATCTATTTAAATAAATAAATAATCTCTAAATATTATCTAAATTATATAATAATAATAATATTAATAATAATAAAATCTACTTCTGTGATTCAAAGCAGTCCAGTTTTTTTGTGTCGTGATGCTTTTACATCCAATTTTTTTTTATTTTTAAATGTATATTTTTTTCTATTTCAGTATTTTTAAAATTTATTAAACTAAATAAATAATCTCTAAATAAAATCGAACTTAAATAATAATAAAATAAAATCTACTTCTTTGATTCAAAGCAGTCAGTATTCCAGTTTTTAGTGTCATGTGATCCTTCTACAACCACTTTAATTCTACTATGATGATCTGATTCTATGTTATGATCATTTGTATTAGTGTTCAATCATTAATAACTGTTTTATGAACCAATAAGGGTTTCTAAATCTTTTGAGGAAACTAATATTCTGCCAAATATTATATGTTGTCTAAACATCATATTATACATTTCTTAACTCTTCTAAAGTAAATTGTATTGTTGTCTTAAAATCAATGTATTTTTTTTTTTGCCTAAATTACAACATATCATGGATATCTAAAATTAGATAACTAATCCATTTAAATTCAAATGTGTTATTGCAAAAAAAAAAAAAAATCTATTTCATATTTTACTTGATTTTCCCTGTTTATTAATATTTTATTCAATAGTTTTCCCCAATATATTCATTTGTGTGTACTCATTTTTGCACTATGCTCTTCATTTTTTGTTAGATTAATTCCAGATTTAGTTTTGGTACTGACTAATCTAATTTATATGCATACAAATATTATTGTAAAACATCCAATAGAAATATGAATTTTAGAGAGATTTTTGCTGAGCTCTGTATATTTTATGTTTTGAAAATTAGTCTAATTGTCTATATTGCACTAAAAATAGCAACAAAAAAATAATAAAAAAAAAGAAAGGAAGCATGAATATGAAATTATGATGCTTTTGCCAAGCACAGTTGAAAAGTGGAGTAGCAGCAAACCAGAGTGTGTGTGATGAAAGTTAGCAGGCCCATTTGTGGCCTATTTCAGGGGGAGGTGTGTCTGTGTTACTACTTATACACACCGCTGCGGCCAGCACTGTTTACTCTGTTATTCAATCTCATTGAGAGTGGAAGAGAGAGGGAAAAAAGAGAGAAAGAAAGAAAACTTCAAAGGACCGGCTGTCGGTGAGAGGCAATGAAAACCAGGCATAGATCAGGAGGTGGAATCCAACTCAAATTCATAAAGGCATTATTGACACAACATAACCTCTCTTAACCTTACAGACCTACTACATAAACTAAAACAACAGAGCACTGCTGGTCTCATTACTACGTATCTAAATATAATAATAACAGTGGCTGAAGAAGAAATTGATTCTTTAAGAAGTTACACATACACGTTTTAAAAAGGGTCAAAAGGACCCTGTTTGGAGTGACTTTGGAGTGCAACTTTGCAAATTAGTTTTCTTGCTCAAACAGCATAAATGAAATATACTGTATGTATAAAGCAGGGTGTTCCTGGAGATGTGTCTTCCTGCAGATTTCAGTTGCAACCCATATCAAACACGCATGCCTGTAATTAACAATTGCTGTTCAGATCCTAATTAATTGGTTCAGGTGTGTTTGATCATGGTTGGAGCTCTGTAGGAAGGTAGATCCTTCAGGAACACTCCTGGTATAAAGCATGATAATCATTCGTCAACCCCCAACAAGCGTTTGAATAAAAAATAGACCTGAAAGCTTGAGACTTACTATGCATACTGTTCTGCTGTCTATTCCTCCATAAGCACATGACGATGAAGACAAGCAGAATGAGCACCATGACGCCCAGAACACAGCCCACGATCAGGTAGAGCAGGCCGCCCGGCTGGCTGGGTGTATCAGCAGGATAGAAGCCTGGAGGAGTGATAGGACGCAGGCTAGGCACACCTGGAGGCTGCCGGGCTGGAGGAACAGAGCAGACAAAAAGAGTCAATCATTAATAGTCCCGGTGTGCACAAAACTCAATAGCTTTGGTTTAATACTTTCTAATGTATTGATTCTCGTTGTTGCCAGTTGTTTTTGTCCATGGCTTAGGAAAGAAATCACTTAACTCTTATGTACTGTTCAAACAGCCTACCCTTTCGTTATGTTCGGGGCTGTTTTTGTTATGTTTGATGGTGTTTTCCCTGTTATGAAGAGGTCAAATTTGTCATTTTTACTGTTGATTATGAGTTGACAGCATTAACCCTTAAGATGGGTCTGAGCAACAAAAGTTTCCAACTTCTATATGGAGTTCTATGGATTAAAACGATATTTTGTGTGTGTATAAATACACTTACTATGTTTACTATGTTCTGAGAGCTGAGCTACTTATTTAGATTTTCTCAGACATATTAAAGTAAGTGCGCAAAGGTCTCTCTCACACACTCTCTCTCTCTCACACACACACACACACACACACACACACACACACACACACACACACACACACACACACACACACACACACACACACACACACACACACACACACACACACACACTATAAGCCATACAGCCATATAATTTTAGGTCAGAAAGTTTTTTTTTTTTGCACTACAACTGATGATCAACGGTTAAAATAAAACATTTCACCTCTTCCCAATAAGGAAATCCACCAACAATCAAGAATGCATGATTATATGGTGTCATGGCTTTGCAATCAAAAAATGTGTTTATAATGGAAGTCAATGGGGCAAAAACAGCCCTGAACATAATGAAATGGTTGTCAATTTTCCCAGATTGTATTGTTGAATTTTTTTATGTTTTCAAAGCATTTCCCAAAATATGTGTCAAAACAAGATTTGTTACCATAAATCTTTCTATTTGCTGAAAAACAGAGAAAGCTGTGACTGAATTAAGACTCGAGATCACCCCTGATTGGATGAAAACATCCCCAACAGCATATAAGGGTTAAAATCTTTTAACTTAAAACATTAAAAATCGATGGCAAAAAAATTACTAAATGTAATGTTTAGGCTGTTTAGAAGTGCTTACTAGGGTGTTCCGACCGACTTTAGGCGCAAATACTATCAGATTTCAACTATTTTCGATCATTAAAGGTGCAGTATGTAAGTTTGACACCTAATGGTTGAACTAGGTATTGCATGCCTGGTTTAAAACACACGCAAGTGCAAGTTGCCAGATTGGAGACACCATCAGGAGCGAGCCTGACTATCGAGTCTAAAGGCTGATTTAGGCCATGTTCTAAATGAAAGCAATGGCTCGCAATAGAAGAAATATTATTCATCATTTTTTTTTCTAACAGCACCTGAAATTTATATTTTAGAAACGTTATCTATTGCTTACAACTGAACAACAGAAAACTGACAATGGTCACCTCAAACAGACCTCATGTGCTTTATTCAGTGTTAAATGCTAATAATTTGAGTTTGAATGCTTTTTTACATGACATTTATTGCCATACTACTGAAAGCAGCAATAGATCGTTCCCCTAAGATCTTGAAAATAAAATAAACCGCTTGAAACTGAACGTTAGAACTGTGACTCTGCAAGCGAACACATATCAGTGATTCAGCATCTACATTTAAAAATGTTAAAGAGGTTTAATATTTGGTAATTAAATTATAATATAAAGACATCATCATCTTTTCTTGTCGGCTTAGTCCCTTCATTAATCCGGGGTCACCACAGCGGAATGAACCGCCAACTTATCCAGCAAGTTTTTACGCAGTAGATGCCCTTCCAGCCGCAACCCATCTCTGGGAAAATATTATAAAAAAAGTACGGAGCAATTACTTGATGAATGCGAATCATTAACTTTTTGAATAATAGCATTGACAAGATTCACGCACCAAAGAAGTTTCTTAAAAACCGCAAACGCACAGTGTAAACTTCAGCAACTCTACACAATTAAATTATAAACCTTAGCATTTCGTGCAGTGAGTGCACTATTTTGTGCTTCTAAATGACCTTATTTAAACTTCTATCGTGTTTTGTCTGGTGCAAACAGCCAAATCACTGCAAATCTCGTCACGTACTGTGTTGTTAGGACACGGGGTTACAATGTAACCTGCTCACCTAATGTTTACGTTCACAATATTTGTACTATTTGCTAATTAAAAACCACCTCATGTGGAACTCTGAATCTGTGTCTCATTTCGGAGTCTGCTACTGTCCACCGGAGGTCGCGTTTCGGTCACGGACACATACTTCAAAATCCTTCCTGACAGATTGAATGAAATACGCTGTTTTCCACCAAGGCAACTCCAGGTGCTGAAATATAATTGGCTAAACTGGCATTGCGGCGGGTTAAAGAGACCAAAACAAAGACATGCCGACACATAATGTGCAATTTCGAAGCAGAATATCTGACTTTAGCATTGTTTTTAGATAAACAAGAATGTTGACTTCTTGCATATCTGCAAACATATTATGACAGAGGTGCTCAAATTCGGTCCTGGAGGGCTTGTGTCCTGCATATTTTAGGTCCAACCCAAATTAAACACACCTGAACCAGCTAATCAAGCCCTTTCTAGGTATACAAAAACTTCCAGGCGGGTATGTTAAAGGAAGTTTGAGTTAAACTATGCAGGACACCGGCCTTCCAGGACCGCATTTGGACACCCCTGTATTATGGTATTTTCATGCTTTAGAAGAGTCAACACGTACATATAGCACCTTTAAAGATCTGTTGCTTATAAAGTGCTTGATTTGATGCACTGTAGAACTAATTAAACAGGATTAATTATGCAGCGTTTAATACTAATGCTTTAATTCTTAGGATCATGGATTTGTTGAAATGTCTATCCCCAAGTATTAGCAATAATCCAGAACCCTAACAAGTGCTAGCATACAACAATGCATCTGTTGTCAGTCTTAAAGTCTGTTGTAGCAGCAAGTCCGATGTTTTTATTTGCTCTGGCTGTGAATGACACTCTGCTTGGATTTCAACAGTGTTGCATTAAGGCCAGTTATCAGTGAATGATGTCAAGGAGACGCAGCACAATGTCTCTCTTTGTCTACCCGATAATAAAACCATTGCTCGCTTCCCTCTGTCATTAGCACCGGGGCTTTATGGGTTCCTGTCTGCATGTTAAGTATAGCATTCCTGTGACGGTACTTCAGACTCTCACCTTTGGTCTCGCAGATCATGACGTTACTGTATTCGCTCTCGCCGCCGTCATTATAGCACTGCATCTTGATGTCATAAGATGTCTCGGGTTGGAGTTCACCAATCATGTGCCAGAATTTGAAGCCTGAGGGGAGGAAGTGACAGGATGCAATGAGAGCGGCTGTACTGAAGGACATGGACTTCTTCTTTCAAAGCATGTGTTGATAAATCCTAACCACAATTCATTTGCTTTGTCTCCGTTTTCTCTATCATTTACACACATACACACCTATTTAAACACACATATACATACAGACACACACATATTCACATATACACAAACATACAGGCAGACACACACAAACACACACACACACACACACACACACACACACACACACCTATTTACACACATACACACCTATTTAAACACACATATACATACAGACACACACATATTCACATATACACAAACATACAGGCAGACACACACAAACACACACACACACACACACACACACCTATTTACACACATACACACCTATTTAAACACACATATACATACAGACACACACATATTCACATATACACAAACATACAGACAGACACACACAAACACACACACACACACACACCCATTTACACACATACACACCTATTTAAACACACATATACATACAGACACACACATATTCACATATTCACAAACATACTGGCAGACACACACAAACACACACACACACACACACACACACACACACACACACACACACACACACACACACACACACACCTATTTACACACATACACACCTATTTAAACACACATATACATACACATATTCACATACACACAAACATAGAGAAAGACACGCACACAGACACGCACGCACAAACGCACGTACACACAAACACAGACACACACACACACACACACACACACACACACACACACCTATTTACACAAATACACACCTATTCACACACACATATACATACAGACAAACACACATACAGACACACATATATTCACATATACACAAACATACATACACACACACCTATTAACACACATACACACCTATTTTAACACACATATACATAAACAAACACACAAACAGACACTCATATTCACATACACACAAACATACACACCTATTAACACACATACACACCTATTTAAACACACATATACATAAACAAACACACAGACACACATTCACATACACACAAACATACACACAAACACACGCACACACACACACACTCACAAACCTATTTACACATATGCACACCTATTTAAACACACATATACATACAGACAAACACACAGACACACACATATTCACATACACACAAACATACAGACAGACACACACAAACACACACACACACACACACACGCACGCACGCACGCACGCACGCACACACACACACACACAAACACCTATTTACACACATACACACCTATTGAAACACACATATACATACATACAGACAAACACACACATACAGACACACACATTTTCACGTACAACCAAACATACAGACAAACACAGACACAAACACACACACAAACACACACACACACACACACACACACACCTATTTACAAACATACACATTCACACACACAGACATAAACACACGCACACACGTTAATACACATACACACCTATGCGCGCACACACATATTCACAAACATTTCCTCTCTATATATCTCTCTCTCACACACACATACACACATACATGCATACACACATACATACAGACACACGTGCAAGCGCGCACACACACACACACACACACACACTCATGCTCTCAATCTCACAGTGTCCCAAAAGGATTCAGACAGTTGCTTTGCTGCAGACAGGCTCCTTATAAGGCAGCTTAACGTTTGTTCTGGCCTGGCTCCAGTATTCCCACTGAACACACTCAAGGCCCTGTGTACACACACACACACACACACCTACACACACTCACAGCTCGTAGCAGCAGCTCGCCGCAGTCACACACACACATAAGCCAAGAGCCAACTATCTAATTACAATTTGTGCCACAATATTTTATTTGTGCAGCTCGCTTGGCTTTATTTAATACAGTTACGGCGTGCTTGTGTAAACTAAATGACCAGCTGCTGCACTGCAGAATGAGGGCCTACTCACACTATGCCATCCGTACCGTGCCCAGGCCCGTTTCCCGGATCGTTGGAGAAGTGTGAGTGCGCTGAATCGGGCTCAAGCACGGTTCACTTGGCCGGCCCTGGCCCGGTTGGAAGAGGTGTGCCTGAGGGCGGTTCACTTGGGCTTTGGCGCGGTACGCTTGTGTGTGAGTGCAAAACGCGTCAAAGCCCGAAACTGAAAGTGAGACGTGACTTTTAAGGGGCTGTTTCATATGGATTTATTAATAATACTGTTCAGTGATCGCAAACTGCCGTAGTTTATTAAAGACGAGAACTCCTTATAGCATGACCGCTGCGCACCTTCAGCAGACCTCCTCATTCCTGCAGCACGAGAACTTTATGATTGTTTATGAGCGCCAAAAGTGGCGGATCTGTCCGAAGAAATATCTGACTGCGTGTCCCCGCATATTCAGTGTATGGCAAGCCGTTTTAGCATTTAAACCTTGTTCTGACTATCCATAAATATATTTAGAGATATCTCTAATTATATTTTGACTAGTCATAATTATAATTCGACTAGTCAGATTGGAGATATCTGCAAATATATTATGACTGACTAGTCATATTCCTCCATTGACTTCCATTGAAAAATATTTGCAGATATCTCTAAATGAGTTTTGACTAGTCACAATTGTAATTAGAGATATCTCCAAATGAATTTTGACTAGTCAGAAATCCAATTCAAGATATCTACAACTGTAATTCGACTATTTGTAAATTAATTAGAGATATCTTCAAATATATTTGTAAATATCTCTAAATATGACGAATTAAAGATATCTCCAAGTGTATGACTAGTAAAAACTCAGTTAGAGATATCTCTAATTACAATTGTTACTAGTCAAAATTCATTTGGAGATATCTCTAATTACAATTGTGACTAATCAAACCTCATTTAGAGATATCTGCAAATATTTTTCAATGGAAGTCAATGGAGGAATATGACTAGTCATAATATATTTGCAGATATCTCCAATCTGATTTTGTACTAGTACAATTGTAATTGCAGATATCTCTAATTGTCATTCTGACTAGTCGAATTATAATTATGACTAGTCAAAATATAATTAGAGATATCTCGAAATATATTTATGGAGTCAGAACAAAGATTTAAATGCTAAAAAGGCTTGCCATAGAGAGCGCTTCACTGAACAGAGCAGCAGCGATGACGTAAGCGTGCCGAGGCCCGATATGGTGTGAGCGCGGGCCGTCGGAGGAGACGGGAGGGGGGACAAGCGTGCTTTGGCCCGGTTCGAGGCAACTGTACATAGTGTGAGTACGGCCTGAGAGAGAGGAGGAAAAACTGAAATCACACACACTTACAAACTCACACATACATGAAAAATGCATCACAGGCTGTTTAGTGCAGTTATGTCCTGCACACACACACACTATGTCTATAGCGTTTCCATCCACCTATTTTTATGTGCATTTTGGATGTGCGCATCTCCAAGATGCGCACTAGTTTTGAAAATGTGTGTATAACTAAGTTTATTCGATAACAAAAGATGAGCATAAACTGCGATGGAAACACTTTTATGTTGCCCTTTAAAATTCCATATTGCAAGTTAAATGGCTCACAAACATAATTTCCTAAGTAAAATTAGCAGAACACACTCCTGACCTACAGTATGTCTGTACATGCTGAGACGTATGAGGTCATCTTATCAGCTCAGCGTCTTTCTGACAACATGCTGTTTGAGGATTGAGGAGCCAATATGAATGAATGGAATCGGGGGGTAAAAGGTAAAAATAGGAGGCGACGGCAGTTAACATTCCTCTCAGAAGAAACTTGAGTCCCTCTCCGAGCGGCCAGTGTTGGGTTTCAGTTTAGGACCATTAGTGCGACAGCCATTTATTAAAAACACATTTTACACTGGCTCATTACTTGGAGCCCAGGACTCACTACACATCAATCAACAGATTACGCTTTCCTTGTCCCGCCCCCCTCTGAGACTGAATATACATTACACACTCATACTACACGCCGATCTGGAATGCTTCAATCTGATTGGACACAGCACTTACAGCTGACGTCAAAATGATTAGCCCTACTGTGAGATTTGATTTATTTTAGCCCCTTAAATGTCCCCTTCACTTTTTGACATCAAAATTATATGTTCAACGTAAACGATTGCCGATCTTCAACGCTTTGGTGAATATTTTCACATAAATAAGTCAATATCTATTGCCTGTTTATTTATATTTGTGCAAGTAGCATGTGTAATATGAGCAACAACCGAATAAAGACAGACAGCATGCTCTCACCTTCCACCACATCTTTCTTGTAGTCGCTGTCATTGTCGCTGTCTGTTGGCCGATAGTAGATGTAGAAGCCCTGGATGGGAGTGTTGTTATTGCTGGATGGAGTGTACTATGAAAGAGATGGCAGGAAAAAGCAAATGGAAAAGATAAGATAGCTAAAGTTGAACTAGAATCAAGACATCATGACTATCTGAATTGTTAATGTGCAAAGAATCCTGCTTTACTTTGACCTCCTGAAAGTAAATGTATTTTTCATTCAAATAAAGTATCAAATGAAAATTTAAGATGTTAATTCAACTATTTAACAGCCAATTGATAAATTGTTAAATTAACTGCTAAACAACTAAATTAATTGCTAAAAGTTTCTGAATTTATTTAGTATTAAATTCAGTCAATACCCAAACTGATGGTGTGACATGAGAAGGCTTGGGAAATTTGTACAGGATACTTTTATAATGTTTTAATTCCATTTCTGATGCTTGTAATAACAAATAGTACTTTTAAAATATTTAATTTTCCACAAAAACAATCATAAAGGTTTGGAAAAGCATTTACGTGCAACATTTCTGGATGAACTCTATAGAGACCCGTCAGAGCTTTTTCTTCTCATGCATGTCTTCTAAAAATAGCTCATCTCTCTCCGTTCCACTAGTTAGAGCAGGATAAAGCCTCTTAATCTGCTAACACTGATCTCACACACACACTTTTTTCCAGCAAAAACTGCCCCAGTGACCATATCTCTGCCAATTACCGATCTGACTGGTCATTTTAGGATGGCTCTCGGAGGCTGATGTGGAAAAACGACTACATTGTACCTGGAAAACTACACACAAACACTGCTAATGTGCTGAAAACACTTGAGAGCAACTGGCAAAGCAGAGAAGAACAAAAAAAACGCAGAGAGGCCCGTTGCGAGAGAGCTTGTTATGTGGTTAGTTCTGGACAGTTTTTACACTCTCATTTTCGAATTAAGCATGAAATGTGAGTGTAATTAAATTGGCCATTAGATATAAAAGGCATATGCCTAAAACATTAGCACACACACATTAGGTTTAAAAGCTCAGAGCTGCTAATGTGAGGTTCCAGCGTTATTCCTTCAACAGGCCAGAAACAGAAACAACATTTGTTTGTACAAGTGGCGAGACCCTTTATAAGATTAATGTGCTAATAATACACATACAGAAGCACGGAATGATAGAAAAACTCACAGTTTATTCAGTGATGAGTTATTGAGTGCCTGACAGAAGGCTGCTGCCTCGCTGTCTGCTGCCTCTATAGCCAACTGCCTTCGTTTGAGATTTTTTTTGCCTACTATTATAGGAGTAAAGTTGGGTATTTTTATTGAATGAACCCAGAGCTTGTATAATTTCTAAATCCCTAGTAGACTTTATGGCAGGCACTCTTCGGTTTATGGTAGCCCGATGTGGCCCAATTAGAAAGTACACTCATCGGCCACTTTATTAGGTACACCTGTTGTTGCTGACCATGTCCAACCCTTTATGAGCACAGTGTACCCATCTTATGATGGCTACTTTCAGGAGGATACTGCGCCATGTCATAAGGCATGAATCATCTCAGACTGGTTTCTTGAACATGACAATAAGTTCACAGTACTCAAATGGCCTCCACAGTCACCAGAGCTTAATCTAATAGAGCATCTTTGGGATGTGGCGGAACGAAAGATTCGCATCATAAATGCACAACCAAAAAATCTGCAGCAACTACATGATGCTAACATGGAGCAAAATCTCTGAGGTATATTTCCAGTACCTTGTTGAATCTATGCCATGAAGGATTAAGGCAGTTCTGAAGGCCAACCCGGTACTAGTAAGGTGTACCTAATAAAGTGGCCGGAGAATGTATATTGCAACACCAAAAATGATTGAGGTACAGATATTGCACGATAAGTCAATATTGTGACAGACCTACTCAGAATCTAACCCAAACCATGTCAGTCATTTTAGATTAATTGGCAGTTAGTATACGGTAAAGTGTGTGAATGTAGTGTATTGGTGAAGTGTACTCACGGTCCAGCGTAACAGAATCTGAGTATCACTAACAGCATCAGTGGAAGAGATGTGAGGCCCAGTGACTGGACGGTTCGAGACAGGTGAACTTGACATGGAGACCTGGTATGGCCTGGAGGTGGCGCTAGCTGGGCTTTCACCATAGTTATTCATGGCAATGACACGGAAACGGTAAGTGGAACCTGTTTGAAAAAACATATTTGACCACATAAGACTTTTTATATGCTTTTATACACCATGTTTTAATTTTATGTACAGGATTTACAGACAAAGTTTTTGAATTTCTAAAAATGGGTAAAAATTAATAATGAACTATGAATGATAAATACTTGTATTAGCATGTATGATTTTTAGTAATGTATTTTACAATAGCACGTATTATTCATAATTTAACATTCAGTTATATATTATGTAGATATTCAACATTTAATTCATTACTAAAAAATCTAAAGTTGTGCTTGTTAGCATGATCTAATGAAGAACTATATTTTCAATAGCTAACGTTAATAAAGATGAATAAATACTGTATTAAATGTATATTTTTCATCAATTTTTTGTTAATAAATACATTAACTAACATTAACTAATGGATTACCAGTTTAATAAATACTGTAATAAATGTGTTTTTCATGTATATCCTTTTTCATGTTAATAAATTCATTTGCTATCATTAACTAATGGAACATTATTGTGAAGTGTTACCAAGAAAGTAATAAGAGATATAATAATAAAGTATATATTTTTAAAAATGACAATGAATTTACCAGTAAATAAGTTAGCATTAAATAAATTATTAAATAATTAACCATGACATTATATAAATAACAAAAACCTAATAATATAAATGTCTAAAGAGTATATGGTTAAAAGATAAACATTTATAAATAAGCTAACTAAAATTTAACACAAATGTATGGTTGCTTTCCTCTTTAATATTTCATCATTAGTAATTTTATAAGTGAACAATGAATGTATGAATAATACCAGGTAGGCCTGCATGATTAATTGCTTTTAAACCAAAAAGCTGTAATTATTATGATGTGCTATCAAATATGATAACAAGCATATCGTTTTTGAGGGTTTTGACAGTTTGCAAGCACATTTTTATGTTCCTTTATTTAACAAGGTAAAAAAAAAACATAGAGATCGAAATATTATTCACAAGGGTGACATGGCCAGGAGGTCAGCAGCACATGACCTATGAAAAAATTAAATAAATAAATAATATAGAAATACAGTTTGGTTATTCAGCCATACCACACTACAATATACAATTGTTTTATATACAATATATAAAACTATTAACGTCGGGTAGGATTTTCGCCACATTTTGTGACATTATAGTCTATACAAACACGGCTTTCTGACGCTACCTACCATGTGCATCTAAGTTACAAAGAAACTAAAAGGTTTTTTTTTCTTTCTCCGATTCGCCATGCGGTATCAAACATTCAATTAAAACAACACTCTTCCAGCAGTTTCCCCCATTCAATATTTTGTTTGTCATAGGGGGCATGCATGAAATGTTCCTGAATGAAAGTGAAAGTGCCAAACTGCAGTTACAGTCGACAAATTAAGATTTTGGCAAATAATTTGATCACTGATGTCCATGTAAACTCAGTCACTATCTTTTTCCCCTGTGTCTGTGTGTTATTGTCGAATCGAAACTCACATTTTTTGCAAAACCTTCCTTCTTTTCCTCCGCCGACACTCCCACGTAAACAGAGCTAGACTCGCCCTCTTTCCTGACTTTTTTCAAACTAGAAGTGTGAAAACACCCTGCTGAGACAGGGGGGAAGGGGGTAGGGGGTTCGTGGCCCTTTAAATAAACAGTATTGTAGTGCACTTTGTGATTATGGTTGGTCTTTTTTTGATGCTGTTAATACTACCTCGTCAAACCTGTAGCTCTTTTATGAAATGTTAGTAAACTGTTGGTCAGATAAATCTGAATTAGATTTGTTTACTTTAAATCAGGGGTCTCAAACTCAATTTACCTGGGGGCCGCAGGAGGCAAAGTCTGGGTGAGGCTGGGCCGCATAAGGGATTTCACAAAAAAAAGTCCTCAAATGTCATTATTAACAGTTTTAATTATTTCTTCTGAACATGAAGTGTCCTGAACATTAATAGAACATTGAGTGAAGATTATGAACAGTTCTTCTGAACATGGCATCTTTGGTACTCAAGAGCGGTGTTGTCGCGCGCCTACTGAAGGGCAGGACCGAAGGTGTGCCGCGTCGCGGGGGCACTTTTGATCATTTTGGAAGGGCACTTTCTATTCAAGACTAAAGGGCATGTGCACTGCACAGGTTGAGCCGTATGTGTGCACGTGCCTGCCCTCACCTAAAAAAAAAGGCGTATATATGTATAAATAAAACACCCCCACCCCACTCCAGTCACATCAGTCTGTATCTACCTATAATATATATAAGATGCAGGCTGCAGATAGGTAGCTAAGTGGCAGGCAGGGGCAGGAACAGCTTACCTTGGTTCTGGCCGGCGTGAGTTCCCTCCTAACACTTCCCGCCCGTCACAGCGTCTAACAAAGGGGCGGGGTGCGTGGTGACGTCACCGGCATCCCCGCCCCTTTGTTTACACGGCGGGCGGGGAATGCCAGTGACCGCTGTGTACGGATAGAATCAGCGGAGCGGGGAGAGAGAGCGCTGTCAGATTCTGTCAGTGTACAGTGGTCGGCGCGGGCCACAAAATATTGCACTGAGGGCCGCAAATGGCCTGCGGGCCGCGAGTTTGAGATCCCTGCTTTAAATCATGCAGCTCAAAGTTCCTCAAGTTTTTCTATAAAAATTTTAAAACATACTGCAGTAACCTCACCTGGCTCAAGGTTGCGCACTTCCACTGACAGTTTAAGCGGTGAGATGTTATCAGCTGCAATGATCCAGTCTCCATTACGCCCCTGTTTTCTGTACTCCACGCGAAATGCAGTGATGGGAGAGCCACCATTGGCCCGAGGTATCCATGTGACGTAAACAGAACTTTCTGTCGCCATTGAGATTGTGGGGCGGTCTGGAGCCTCAGGAACTAGAGAATGAATCCAACCAATAAGAAATTAGGAAAAAAATAAAAACAACATATTGTTTCAGCATCATTATCGCAACGTGCACATCTATAGTTGGACCAGGAACTAAAGAATTATATTGAATTACTGTATTTATGTGTCTGGGATAGAACCCAGGTCTCTGGATTGAGAAGTGAGTGACATTACCACTGAGCTACTGGAGGTTGATGAAGACAGCCATGCATATACACACCTGATACATTCTTTACATATACACACCTGATACATTCCTGATACATTTAAAGACATGATACACTTAATACACATGCACAAATGAGGTCTTCATTAACCTCCAGTAACTCAGTGTATAAATTGTATCATGTCTGTATATGTGTATATGCATGTATTAGGTGTGCATATGTAAAAAAAGGTATCATGTGTGTATATGTATAGAATGTATGTGTGCATATGTATAAAGTGTATCATGTATGGACTGTATCAGGTGTGTTTATGTATAGAATGTATCATGTGTGCATATGTATAAAGTGTATCATGGCTGTATATGTATAGAATGTATTAGGTGTGTATATGCATGGCTGTCTACATCAACCTCCAGTAGCTCAGTGGTAATATCACTCACCTCTCAAACCAGAAACCCGGGTTCTATCCCAGACACTGACAGGACTGTATCATGTATAGAATGTATCATTTGTTCATATGTATATAGTGTACATATGTATAGAATGTATAATGTGTCCATATGTATAAAGTGTATCATGTGTGCATATGTATAAAGTGTATCATGTCTGTATATATATATAGAATGTATCAGGTGTGCATATGTATAAAGTGTATGATGTCTGTATATGTATGGAATGTATCATGAGTGCATATGTATAAAAAGTACCATGTCTGTATACTGTATCTATAGAATGTATCAGGTGTTCGTATGTATAAATTGTATCATGTCTGTATATGTATAGAATGTATCAGGTGTGTTTATGTATAGAATGTATCATGTGTGCATATGTATAAAGTGTATCATGTCTGTATATGTATAGAATGTATCAGGTGTGTTTATGTATAGAATGTATCATGTGTGCATTTGTATAAAGTGTATCATGTGTGCATATGTATAAAGTATATCATGGCTGTATATGTGTGGAATATATCAGGAGTGCATATGTATCTGCATATGTAACTGTATCAGGTCTTCATCAACCTCCAGTAGCTCAATGGTAATGTCACTCACCTCTCAAGCCAGAGACCCGGGTTCTATCCCAGACACTGACAGGACTGTATCATGTATAGAATGTATCATTTGTTCATATGTATATAGTGTGAGTATGTATAGAATGTATAATGTGTGCATATGTATAAAGTGTATAAAGTGTATCATGTCTGTATATGTATAAAAAGTATCATGTGTGCATATGTATAAAGTGTATCATGTCTGTATATGTATGGAATGTATCATGAGTGCATATGTATAAAGTGTACCATGTCTTTATATCTATAGAATGTATCAGGTGTGCATATGTATAGACTGTATAAAGTGTATAATGTCTGTGTATATGTATTGAATGTATCATGTGTATCAGGTGTGTTTATGTATAGAATGTATCATGTGTGCATAAGTATAAAGTGTATCATGTCTGTATATGTATAGAATGTATCAGGTCTGTATATGCATGGCTGTCTTCATCAACCTCCAGTAGCTCAATGGTAATGTCACTCACTTCTCAAGCCAGAGACCCGGGTTCTATCCCAGACACTGACAGGACTGTATCATGTATAGAATGTATCATTTGTTCATATGTATATAGTGTGAGTATGTATAGAATGTATAATGTGTGCATATGTATAGAATGTATAATGTGTGCATATGTATAAAGTGTATCATGTCTGTATATGTATAGAATGTATCAGGTGTGCATATGTATAGAATGTATCATGTCTGTATATGTATAGAATGTATCAGGTGTGCATATGTATAAAGTGTATCATGTCTGTATATGTATGAAATGTATCGTGTGCATATGTATAAAGTGTATCAGGTGTGTTTATGTATAGAATGTATAAAGTGTATCATTCCTGTATATGTATGGAATGTCATGTGTGCATATGTATAAAGTGTATGATGTCTGTATATGTATGGAATGTATCATGAGTGCATATGTATAAAGAGTACCATCTCTGTATACTGTATCTATAGAATGTATCATGTGTACATATGTATAAATTGTATCATGTCTGTATATGTATAGAATGTATCATGTGTGCATTTGTATAAAGTGTATCATGTGTGCATATGTATAAAATATATCATGGCTGTATATGTGTAGAATGTATCAAGAGTGCATATGTATAGAATGTATCATGTGTGCATATGTATAAAGTGTATCATGTCTGTATATGTATAGAATGTATCATGTGTGCATATGTATAAAGTGTATCATGGCTGTATATGTATAGAATGTATCAGGTGTGTATATGCATGGCTGTCTACATTGACATGTGTGCATATGTATAAAGTGTATCATGTGTGCATATGTATAAAGTGTATCATGTGTGCATATGTATAAAGTGTATCATGACTGTATATGTATAGAATGTATCATGTGTGCATATTTATAAATTGTATCATGTCTGTATATGTATAGAATGTATCAGGTGTGTTTATGTATAAGGTGTATCATGTATGTATATATATGGAATGTATCATGTGTGTATATGTATAAAGTGTATCATGTCTGTATATGTATAAAATGGATCATGGCTGTTTATGTATAGAATGTATCAGGTGTGTGTATATGCATGGCTGTCTACATCAACCTCCAGTAGCTCAGTGGTAATATGCATATGTATAAAGTGTGTATATGTATAGAATGTATCATGTGTGCATATGTATAGAATGTATAATGTGTCCATATGTATAAAGTGTATCATGTCTGTATATCTATAGAATGTATCAGGTGTGCATATATGCATAGAATGTATCAGGTGTGCAAAATAAGCGTAATCTAGAGGCCTTTCATATCAGCCACTTCTGATACCGAATGATCAACTATACTGTATAAAGTGCCTGTATAAAGTGTATCATGTCTGTATATGTGTAGTATGTATCAGGTCTGTATATGCATGGCTGTCTTCATCAACCTCCTGTAGCTCAGTGGTAATGTCACTCACCTCTCAAGCCAGAGACCCAGGTTCTATCCCAGACACTGACAGGACGGTATGTATCATGGAATGTATCATGTCTGTATAAGGAATGTATCATGTCTGTATAAGTATAAAATGTATAATGTGTATATGTATAAAATGTATCATGTGTGCATATGTATGGAATGTATCATGTCTGTATATGTATAGAATGTATCAGGTGTGCAAAATAAGCGTAATCTAGAGGCCTTTGCCTTTCATATTAGCCACTTCTGATACCAAATGATCAACTAGAAGTCAAGTTAATATTTGTTGTGCTAAAAACTTTCTACATACTAGGCGACAAGACTTTTGTCAGGCAGAGTAGAAACAAAGCAAAGTAAGAAAAGTATGTTTTGCATTGTGATTATTTAATTTCTCTACTTGGATAGCTGTTGGATATACTTCCCAGAAAACCATCAAATCGTGCTATTCAAACTATCTAGTGAAACTGTATTAATATAGCAAAATTTATCATGATATATCCAATATCATGCAGCCCTAAAACAAACTACACCCTAATTATTCAGTTTTCCCAAAAATAAGCAGTGTCTTTCATGTTTTCAAGTGTAACCTCAACATCCATCAGTGAACCAAAAGAGCAGACAAAGATAAAATAAACCAACACAAACACAACAGAGCGACGGCATGCCAGAGTCAATGGAGTACTTACTGATTGGGCTCTGAGCCACAGACACAGAGACGCAAGCAGAGAGAGAAAGACAGAGCAAAATTTATGTGGCAAATAAGAGCAGGCCTGGACCCATTAGGAGCTAAATGTGCACATTTGTCAATGCCTAAACGTGTTATAAGAAAACTTCAAAGCAAAATATGAACGTTCGCTCAACCCTGTGTTGTTTTCTTATGAGAAACACAAAAGAAGACATTTGAAATAGCTTTTTCATATACGTTTTTAGGGATGTTCCAATATCCTTTTCCCATTCCCGATACCGATACCAACACCTGAGCTTAGGGTATAGGCCGATAGAGAGTACTGAACTGATACCCGAGTATGTATCTGTAGAAACAGTTGTGTATACTACTAGTCCTGGATAAATTGACAGAATTTATTTACGGTGTGCTTCAGATTTACCCATTAATAAAAATTATACAAATACATACAGTTAACTAGAGTATTTTTAAGATCTGACATGTCTATTATCAGACATTCAACAATAATATTATTTACTTTACTTTACTGAAACCCCAAAATAGAATCTTAAAAAAAAACAATTTAAATCTGTGCAAAAAACAAAGAAATATAAAACATGAATATGAATAATATAGAAAAATAACCTCTTTCAAAGTTGCTGCTTTAAAATTGGTACAGCACAACCTCCTGTGTTTGCATTCTGAGCAGTTAAGAACTGACTTCAGGTTTGCCGTGTCAAGCAAAGATAGCAGGCATATGTCTCATTTAAAAAGATGGCATCCTATCGGTTTATGGTTTCAACTACTTGCCCATACTGATGCCAGAATTTTTGCAGTATTGGTGAGTATTGGTATCGGTACAATCCTTTAAGTTTTTCATACATGAAAGCTATAATATGATTTTTGAGCACTTTCGTAGACTAAAATGTATAAAAACAAGCAGCTTCAGATGATCTCCTTTTGTGTTTCACACATGGCATACAGCTATGAAGAGAATTAAGAGACCACTTGAAAATTCAAATGGTAATATTAATTTAAGTCTATATTTATTCTGTGCTAATATTCATTTTGTTCTATTAAGGCCTTAAAATAGTTCTTCCATATATCAAATAAAAATATTTAGAGCTTTTTAGAGGAAGAAAATGACAATGAAATGACAATTGATAAATTAAATTAAATTAATGGCGGTTCATTCCGATGTGGCGACCCCAGATTAATAAAGGGACTAAGCCGAAAAGAAAATGAATGAATTAAATTAAATTAAATTAAATTAAATTAAATTAAATTAAATTAAATTAAATTAAATTAAATTAAATTAAATTAAATTATTTTTATTTATTTAAATTAATTTAATTATAATTGTTATTATTATTATTATTTAATTTTTTGGGAGGAAGAAAATGACAACTGATTATTTAAATCAATTTATTTTAATTATATTTTTTATATAATTTATTTAAATTATTTTAATTTAATTTAAATTAAATTTTTCTTTATTTTATTTTCTTTATTATTATTATATTTTGGGGGGAATGACAATTGGTTAATTTATTTATTTGCATTTTTTAATTTTATTATTTTAATTAATTTATTATTATTATTATTATTTTATTTTTGGGGGAAAGAAAATGACAATTGGTCAATATAACTAATGTTCACCAAAGTTAAAACATTGTAAACATTTCTGAAACCCATTTTTTCCCAATTGTCATTCTATAATTTAACGGACAACATTCTTATTTTTAATTTAGAAGAAATGTCATCAGTAGTTTGTAGAACAAAAACAATTATTTATTCAAGCACATAACGATAAACTGTAAACAAGGAGAAACAGTATTATCTAGTGGTCTCAATTCTGTTTATAGCTGTATGATTCAGATTTTTTAATGAACTATTTTAAAGAGGGTACACTAGTATGGAGAGCAGTCCTCTTACCTCTGTCATGTATGACCACTCCATAATAAGTGTTAGTAGTTTTATCTTCTGGAGTTTTCTCTGGTAGAGACACAATTGGAGCTTTGGAGGGATTCTTATTGGGGGACGCCCGCTCTGAGAAGGAGAGAAAAAAAAGTGAATATAATATAATATAGTATAATATAATATAGTATAATATAATATAATATAATATAATATAATATAATATCATTAATATAATATCATTAATATAATATAATATAATATAATATAATATAATATAATATAATATAATATAATATAATATAATATAATATAATTAATATAATATCATTAATATAATATAATATATAATATAATATAATTAATATAATATAATATAATATAATATAATATAATATAATATAATATAATATAATATAATATAATATAATATAATAAAATATAATATAATATAATATAATATCCTTTGAAAGTTGGGGTTGGCTAAAAAGCCTTTAATGCTCTTTTCTTTTTAACATTTGTTTTCAAAATAGTTTCAAATCTCTTAAACATTTTCATGATTTCTTTAAGAGTCTTTAATGAACACAGTTATCAAAAAATAACATTTATGAAATTAAATGTATTAATCAAAACATTATACATCTTAATTGTAACATTTAATCACTTCAATTCATCCTTGCTGAACAAAAATAGTGAATTCTTTGGTCACACTTTATATTAAGGTACACATCTTGCTGTTAACAAAACATTACCTAAGACTCCTAGTTTGCTACTTAATAGTATCATTCCAGGTCATGGGTCATTCAGATTGTGTACTTATAAACAGTCAATATCTTAATAATACCCAGACAATAAACTATTATTTCATAATGAGAATTGGTACCTATGTACATAAAATACATTCATTTCCTATACCTAATTCCATTCTTGAGCTGTTCTCAATGACTTTGTTTACATGGACATCAGTAATCAAATTATTTTTCCTAATCTGAATGAGACAATAATATGATTAAGGTGTTTACATGAGATGCATTTTAAAAGTTCCTTTCATATTCCCGTTTTTACATACGCTAGTTTTCTTTGGTTTTACGCAGCAACAGTTCTTGTTCCATATGGCACCGTATGTGATTTTCTGGTCTTTCATTTTTAATTTTGCAACGAGTTCAACTGAAGTTAATTTCTCACACTATGTGTGCAAACAGATGACTGCAGATACAAATTATCAAGCAACAGGTTATCTCTGCCATTTCATTTACTTACTTTTCATTCATGGCTCTACAACAAACTCATGAACGCACTTCATAATGTACATTTCTTCCAGAAATCTCAGCATAGTCATCATTTTCTGCTCGCACCAAAAATGTGCTGTTTTACTTCAAGCCATTCTCATTTGTTTGTTGTCAAACGTCTGACAACTGCCGTGTGTGTGTCCTGTCGCAATATAAGTGAAAAGTACCACAAAACGGTAATAGTTTGAGTGAGGTGTTTACATGTCTGTACTGCACTTTAATAATGTGCTTAAAACAAGAATACTCCAAGTCTTAATTTCAGTCAGATTATGACTTTAGTCAGATTAAGGCCATCAAAAACCTCTGTTCACATGGTAGACTCTTAATCAGAGTATTGTATCATTAATCATTGTAATCATTGAGTATTCGCACACTGAATGGGAAAAAACCCTCCGCATTTCACAATGCAGGTGTCTGTTGTCCTTCACTGAATTGGTAGGTGCAGAGAATAGTGTCAAACAGCCGTGTGTATATGGAATATCCTGGGGCAAATTGTGGCGAAAATCCTACACGATGGAAATAATTCAATAATGCGACTAAAATCGGCATACTTTACATGTCTTAATTCAATTCCTGTTTAGTTGATTATGACTTTGATCGGATTAAGGTTAAGAACTCTTTGTTTACATGGTCGACTCTTAATCAGAGTATTGTCTTAATCGTATTAAAATCAGAGCATTGGTGTCCATGTAATTGTACTCATTGATACCATTCGCTGAAATACAGCATCATCAGTGAAAATATGCTTCAGCTGGCTGAACTGCACACTGTGTTCTCACCTTTTCCGGTTCGGAAGGTCAGCATGGCCGGCTGTCCCTCTCCAGCAGCGCTGCGAGCCACCATCAGGACCTCATACAGGCTGGACGGCTCCAGCTCTGACAAGGGCAGAGACTTCTCGCTGCCGGGTACCCGCACCGTGTGCCAGCTCCCCACCACATTTCCCATATCATCCACCTACAGACACAGCAAATCGACTTTATCTGCTTGTTCAAAATACTGGACTTATTTGAGTTAAAGCAACACAATTTGTATGTTTTCTTTGAGACAACTCATAGATATTTACATTCGATGTCGCCTACCCCGTTGTTGTCAATTGGCAGGAATGTATCAATAGAGCCGCTATACTAGTACAGGGGTAGCGCTCCTCTGAAATGAATGGGGGACCAAGGTGCAGTGGAGGACTGTGGCCATCCAGAGCAGGAGATATTTAAACATATACACATATATCTATGATGGGGAGTTTTCCCGGTGGTCAGTTTGCAGTTGGTCAGTATTTAAATTACGAAAATCTGAATTTTACATCACTTTTCTACATCGATAAGTGACCTAACGGACATTGCTGACAAAGAGCATGTGTTTGTGTGCATAGAAATGTATTATCCTCCCACCTTGCTAAATTTGATCTAATCCATGTCCTGAAGCACACCCCCTCTCCTGCTTTCATTTCTAATGCTGTGTTCACACTAGATGCTATTCCCGTGTAAATAAACGTGTAAACATTTTGAGTTTACTCGAGTCATTCGCGCATCAAATCCGCTTCATTTGCGCATTCGTACATCAAATTCACTGAGCAATAGACGCGGATTCGCGTCATGGGGCTTCTGTCTGCCAGTGACTGTAGCTTTGTTGCTAAATGTCTAAAATGGATTTTATTGATTGAATAACTGTGTTTATGTGCATTATGAAAGCTTAAAAACAGCATTGATTCGTTTGGAGTCCACTAGATCCTGTAAGAGGTGCACCAGCTTTGCGTGTTCATAAACTTCTCCAGAAACTTAACCTGGATGATGGAAGCTTTCAGCGGTGCTTGCGACTGAGCCGAGCCCAGTTTGATCAGCTGTTGTCCGGTGTCGGCTAGACGATTTCCCCCAGGACACCAACAACAGGCGCTTCATCATAATCCCACCCTTACAAGAAAAAAGCTCTTGACTGGTTAACGCTAATGTCCACAGAAGTTCAGTTTTTCAAACTTGAGCATTTCGCGCAAAATGCGGGTTAAGTGCGTCAATCGAGCAAAATGCTTAAATTACGGCGCTTCATTAGTGAGAATAACACTATTCGCGCTGCCTCATTCGCGCGTATCGTGCCACAGAAGATCTAACCTGCAAGATCTTTGCATCAACTTAACCCGTATATCGCTCAGGCTTGACGCTTCTTCCGCGTCTGGTGTGAACGCAGCATAATACTAATGGAGGGGGCGATACGTTTGTGAATGAATCTCCGTTATGAACAACTCAAGTTTCTATATTTAGATTACGTTGTTTGCTGATTTTATTTAATCAAACTAGCATAAGCCTGGTATTTAGTGCAAGTTGGTGCCACTTTGCCTTATGGTCAATGCAGGAAGAGACTGTATTATTACCAATGCTTTTTAAGCACAAAAGTTCGTATTATATGAAAACGTAAAAAATGAAATCTTACCTATGAAATGTTCTGCCTTTGTGCTTTGTTTTCTTTGTTTGCTCATTACTACACCCGTACACCACGCAAAAGTCCAGCATTTTCAGACTGGCTTTAGTCTTGACTAGTGCAGTTGAATGACATTTGTCCTGGGAGCACTGCACAAATGTGGCGGCGCTATTGACGCATGCTCAGAGTCCGTATGCGATATCTAGTGTATATATATGTGAGGACAATATAATTCTTTTATGTTTAGTCCACCTAAATTTGTAATAATGTTTGAGTTAACTTAATCGATTTGTGTTGGGACCATATGAAGATATTATGTGTAACCCTGCATTTTTTACAGCTTATGCACAGTCAGGTAACAGTCTTACCGTATGTGCTGATCTCATGCACATATGCGTAGCGTTAAACCCTCATTTTCTGTTTGACTTCGCACGTAAAGTTCAACAAAGAACAGTAACTCCTTTCTCATTCTCCTACTCTGAATCATGACAAAAGATCAACCCACTCAACGATTCCTGAGAGAGCACGCTGTGTCACTTTTTCCTGGGCCAATGTGACAAACGCTGCCAATGCAATCTTGAAAAGAACCCGAGCAGTTTTATTAGCCAAGGGAGCTTATTATTGAAGAAAACACAGGTTTTTAAAGAGGAAATGACCAACTTCTTACCAAAACGCTCTTGGCTGGCAGATACTGCTGAATTGTGTTAGCACTGATTTTGCAGTAAACGCCACAGGGCGTTGTTATGAGTATGTGCTCATTCGCAAATCTAATAGCTATAAATCTGACCTGAGAACTAACGCCAGGGGAATAGAAGAGGGTAGAGCGAGATTCAGTCCTTCTTGAAGAGGTAATAATAGTCTACAGTTGAAGTCAGAATTATTAATCCTTTTTAATTATTAGCCCTGCAGTACAGAAAAATGCCTTGCTCTGTTAATCATTTGGGAAATATTAGTAAAAAAAATCTAAAAAACTTTGACATTAAGGCTCCAAAGTACATAGGTGAAGCAGAAAGTTTATAAGCACTGTATGAACTCTTCTCACCTTGCGATATTTGACAAAGTATGCGATGATAGCGATGCCCCAGTCTCGGCCTGCTCTCCACTCCAGATCGTACATGTTGGGTTTGTGTGTTTGAGGAGGGCTGATTATGATTGGTGCTTCTGGTGTGGGTCTGTCGCCGATTCTCTCGGTGGGCGGTCCTACAGTTTCTCCAAGCGCCGCCTCCCCCATGGAGAGGAACAGTTCATCACCCTCATCACTCTGGATTGGGTGAACAGAAGGTTGCGTCTTCACTGGAACTGCAGATATGGAACTAGACTGTGGTTCTGTGGGAGGGAAATATCATTTTATTCAAAAATCACATTAATATGACTATATACATTCAGTTTATACATGTATTTTGACAGGTTTTATAACATTCAGTGCTCAACATAAATGATTCATGAAAATGAATATTTTCATCCATTTTTTACTGAATATAGGTCAAATATTTTGGTGCATTTAAACAAAGCAGATTTATTAAAAGGATATATTTATCAAAATAATATTTTAGTCGCTGAACTTCTTTAGAAATAGAAAGAAAATACATTTAAATGCATGACAAATATTAAGAAAAAAAATTACAAATTACAAAATTTCAACAAAATAGTATATATTTTTGGTTTGTCTTTTTAAATTTTGTATTTAATATTTTTCTGTAACATATAAATTTGGGTGCACTAATTTTGGACCGTTATTATAAGTTAGATTAGCATCAGATTTGGCTTAAGTACAGACTAATCTAATGTATACACTTAAAAAAATATTGTTCTAACTACTTAATTAAAATAAGGTGAATTCTGGAGATTTCATTGGGACTACTTGATTTTTTTAAGGTCAAACCACATAAATTTGTTAAGTGTTAAATTAACTTAATCGATTTGTGTTGGGGCAACATCAATGAATTGTGTGGAACCCTGCTTTTTTTTACAGTGTATGCACAACTATATTATTGTAAAGCTTCCTATAAAAAAATATTAATTTAAATGAGAGATTTATGAGGGGTCTACTCATATGAGCTGAGCGCTGTATATGCATGTTATCTTTAATAATAGAAAGCTTTACACAATAGACTATTTAAAACACAAGATATTACCGTGCAATTACATACTTAGTAATGAGTAATGTTAATTGCATATCCTAACTATAGCTTAGGTTTAGGGTTAGTCACTAGTAATTATGGATGATTTTATTTTATTACTATAGTATACAAGGCTCTGGTACTCAGACTGGCTAAATGCGAGGTTGTAAAAATGTTCAGATAAAACACAGGGAACCTGCAAGGGGAACATATAATAAAGCTGTATTATTATTAATTCATTTATTTTTTATTAGGCCCCACCAGAATGATCCACTTGGGAATCGATGTAATTTAAAAGAATCATTACTTTTGAGGGTGGCTTGGCAGACATTCATCTTAACAGAATTGGTGTGAACGTGAAACTCAACTTAACCTTGCGTACATGTAGATTTCGTTTAAGTGTGAGTAATCATGCACTGTACTAGTATTAATTTTGTAACATATATTTAATAATACATATAATATTCAATGCAAACTCCAAAGTGTACTTTAGTTTGGCCATTTTGCTCAATACAGAAATTTGGAAGCCAATATATGATATAGGCTGATAATTATAAATCTTATCTGTGACTGTTTACAAAAACATTCATTCATTTTCCTTCGGCTTAGTCCCTTATTTATCAGAGGTCGCCACAGCGGAATGAACCAGAAACTGTTCCTGCATATGCTTTACACAGTGGATGCCCTTCTAGCTGCACCCCAGCACTGGTAAACACCCATACACTCTCACATTCACACACGCACTCATACACTATGGCCAGTTTAGTTCATCCAATTTAACTAGAGCGCATTTCTTTGAACTGTGGAGGAAACCCACGTGAACATGGGAAGAACATGCAAACTCCACACAGAAATGCCAATTGGCCCAGCCAGGACTCGAACCAGTGACCTTCTTGCTGTCAGTGCCAACCACTAAGCCACTGTGCCACCGATTACAAAGACAAATGGCAAGCAAATACAGTGTACAACTGGTTTTACTCTAAAACCTTAACTGCAGAAAGCAAGTAAAAATTTAGTCGGGGTGTCCAAACTTGGTCTTGGAGGGCTGGTTTCCTGCATATTTTGGTTCCAACCACAATTAAACACACCTGAACCAGCTAATCAAGCTCTTTCTAGGTATACTAGAAACTTCCAGGGAGGTGTGTTGAAGAAAGTTGGAGCTAAACTATGCAGGACACCGGCCCTGCCGGATTGAGTTTGGAGACCCCTGATCTAGACCTTTTTTTTTCCCTCAAAATAATTCTGATGTCAACTTTATTCAAAGTGAAGCTGGCTTTAATGTTTCAGGGTTTGTCCATGTTATCAAATCGACTGTGTGTTTTTATGTATGTATGCTAACAGCTGAAACAGTTGAAATGCAGTTGTAGGAGAGGTGAGGTTTGTTGCTGGTTCTTCGGGGTCTCTCATTCTCAGTTGATGGGTGTGTGGCACTGGTTTACCTTACAAAACAAACAGCCCCAGAGTCAGTAACACTAGAGCTCAAACTGGGCCTGCCGCCAGTCGCCACACATTCCACCCATCGGCCATTAAAATACCAAAGCGAATCAGAGCCCTTCACCAGCTCACATATCCACCTTCACTCCTGTCTCGAGTCTTGAAGGCTTTATCTTAGGAGCTAATGGATAGAAATTTAATGTGAACAGAACTAGACAACAAATAGGAGAAAACTTTCATGTAACAAAGCTAAGACTTCCTTTCAGTTTGCCAGGCTCTTGGTAGGGTGGTTCCTAGGACATGGTAATATGATAAGTCACCCAACCCACCACGTTTCTAGGATATTCTGGACCAGAATGACTCCAGTTCGTTAATTAAAACTTCTCGGTGTGTCCAAATATCAATAATTGCTGCATTGGACAAGATTATCAGTCACTTTATGAAACAGGGTCTTTGCTATGATGATATAGAAGAATCATTTTTGGTTGCCCAAAGAAACTTTGAGTAAACAGTTCTTAAAATATTTTTTTTTCCAACTCATAACTGATACCTACCCCGGTATACATTTCTGGAGATTGTGAAATACCTCCTATAGGAGGTACTTTCTTTGCCGTTTTTGTTTTCGCAAATCCACCAGAGGCTGCCGTGTATGCTTTCTCAGATTTCAGATTTCTTTTGCGAGTGCCATTCGTGCTTGCTCTTCTTGCGTAAATCCACCAGAAGCCACTGTCGCTTGACTGTCGATTGATTGATTGACAGCCAGACTGAGACCCCCACCCTTCCCTAAACTCAACCAATAGTGTTTTCAAAAGCAATCCAATAGAAGATAAGCCCTTTCCTGAATCTTACCATGTTCTCACCCAGTTATTTACTTGTTTATTTTATTTTTTGCCTTTTGTTTTTGTTTTACCTGCATTCTGGAACGTTTTTTGCCAGAATTGAACCCCATCATTGCGGTCAACTTTTTTTCTCCAGATGGAGGTAAGCAGTCAACTGGTAGAAACAAAAGCTGTTGTTGGTGTCATACCGCGCCGTAGTGTTCGTTTTAAAGACTAAACACAGCCATAGGTAGCTCTGGCTACATAATTAGCACTCTCCAGAAATATATACGGAAGTAAGTTTTCATAATTAGCCTGTTTTAAGTTTTTTTATTAATGTGCAGAACATTTGAATTATCTAAAAACCTTTTCGACCTTAAACAAACATTTGTGGAATGGCTCAATATATGGTAAAGGTTCTTAATGACAGCATCAATGCTAATAAATAACTTTTATTTTTAAGAGTTCAGATTGGCAACGCAGTGGTGCAGTAGGTAGTGCTGTTGCCTCACAGCAAGATCACTGCTTCGAAGCCTCGGCTGGGTCAGTTGGTGTTTCTATGTGGAGTTTGCATGTTCTCCCTGTGTTCGCGTGGGTTTCCTCCGGGTGCTCCGGTTTCCCCCATAGTCTAAAGACATGCGGTACAGGTGCATTAGGTAGTCTAAATTGTCCATAGTGTATAAGAGTGTATGGATGTTTCCCAGTGTTGGGTTGCATCTGGAAGGGCATTCGCTGCGTAAAACATATGCTGGATAAGTTGGCGGTTCATTCCGCTGGGCGACCCCAGATTAATAAAGGGACTAAGCCGAAAAGAAAATGAATAAATGAAGAGTTCAGATTAGAAAGGGGCCAGAACTCAGCGCACACGAAATCCACACTTTCAAATCTTTTTGGATATGTATTTAAGGCTAAATGTTTCCCATCATTCGTCATACTCTACACACACTTGTGGTCTTTACTTAAACCAAATACTGGGGATACGTCATGTAAGTAAACAAGTGGTCAAGTGCAAGACCACATCTATGGGCAGTCATTTATTCTTTAACCCACCTGGTGATTTGAGGTATTACAACATGCAGCACAAACAGTACTAGGGCCAACTATTAGATTAAACGTACTCAAGTTACAGGTTTGTACAAATCCCTAATCGTAAGTATGAGCAATAGTAATAATGACTAAGCTTGGCTTGGTAAACACCACTAATGACAGACAAATAATACATAAAATATGATTCTGATGCTTTGATCTTCTCTTGTGTCTCTATTCAGAAAGTCTTTCTTCTTTGTGACTCATGCGTGCACAAATTTCATGTATGATCATTAATAATTGGTCTGGTGGGTGTAATATAAATATTGCAAAAGGAGGGACAAAGACATGAGACAATAAATTCAATTGTGATGGTGTTTGGGTTTTAAATAATCTTGACTCATTCACTCAATGCCATTAGATCTCTAGTCTGGGAAGAGCTGAGCTCATTGAAATAGTCATATTTATGAGGCTTTATATAAGCCACAATCACATCCTCTGTCTTAATGTATAAGGACAGATGGCCTGGGTTGTAAACTGGCACCCTGGCTGCCACCTATGGGGGCTGAATTCGCAAGAAGGAATGTGCAATTGGACTGGCAGAGTTTTAGTTGACAACAGAATGTGGCCACCCATTAACATTGCATGCGACAATTCCACAGTCACCCTCCATGTACACTACCTAACAAAAGTCTTGTCATCAATTCCAGTTGTAGAAATCAGTCAAGTTTAATGAAGGAAAAAACGTGGTTTGGGGTTACATTAAGTATGGGGCATGCAAGAGATCTGCAGAGTAAATGGCAACATCTACAGCCTGAGGTATCAAGACATTTGTGCTGCCCATTACATTACAAACCACAGGAGAGGGCAAATTCTTCAACAGGATAGCGCTCCTTCTCATACTTCAGCCTCCACATAAAAGTTCCTGAAAGCAAAAACGGTCCAGGTGCTCCAGGATTGGCCAGCCCAGTCATTAGACATAAACATTATTAAGCATGGCTGGGGTAAGATGAAGGACGAGGCACTGAAGATAAATCCAAAGATTCTTGATGAACTCTGGGAGTCCTGCAAGAATGCTTTCTTTGCCATTCCAGATAACTTTATTAATGAATTATCTGAGTCATTGCATGACTTTATATTCTATACTGGACATTATTTCTGTTGTAACAGGTGACAAGTCTTTTGTCTAAGCAAAGTCAGACCTTACTGTCCTAATTAAATCATTAAAACTTAAGGCATGATCATATTTTATTTTGGTAAAATCGGCATAATCTAGAGGCATTTGTCTTTCATATAAACCATTTTTGATACCAAATGATCAACTAGAAGTCAAGTTATTATATGTTATTCCTAAAACTTGGATAGGTGACAAGACTTTTGCCAGGTAGTGTAAATACAACTCTTACGAGGGAACAGGGTCATGGGTTTAAAACTTTCTCTAAAAAAGTGTGTTACTATTCTTTAGGGCACAGGTGTCAAATTCAGTTCCAAAAGGGCCGCAGCTCTGCACAGTTTAGTTCCAACCCTAATTAAACACACCTGATCAAACTAATTGAGTCCTTCAGGCTTGTTTGAAACCTACAGGTAAGTGTGTTGGAGCAGGGTTGGAACTAAACTGTGCGGGGCTTCGGCCCTCCAGGAATTGAGTTTGACACCCCTGCTCTAGGTGTACAATTAATCCATTCAATTCTAAAAAATGTTTTTGGTAATCTTCAATCAAAGTCTGATCATTAGCTTCCACATTTGGACTGGCAGTCATTCTTTTTTTGATGTCAGCTTGACAGCTTCAGCCACAATATTCTTTAACCAACCCAAGCTCATTCTGGAAACGTAGCCCCGCGGACGTTTCTGGAGACCGCGATTTACGTGGCCGGAGTCCCTACTCAATATTCCATTTCAATTGTAAGTACATCAACATACTGAAAAACTGAAGTGTCAGCAACTTTCAGTTCACAAGGACTTTCATTTAAATTTGACCATTCGTTCATGTTTATGAGCTTTGGTCACTTGCTTATTTAGTCCACAAGATTCATACACTGAACTAGTAATATCACAATAAGCCCCGAAAAAAACTAATTTAGTACTGTAAAGCAGAAACAACTATTCATTCTCTCTTCCAACAGTTCCTCGCATCCAATATCTCGTTTGTCAAGGAGGCATGCAGGAAATGTTCCTGAGTGAAAGTGAAAGTGCCAAACTGCAGTTACAGTCGACAAATTAAGAATGAAACACTCGAAATTACATGTAACTCAAGAGGAAAATTGGATAGCATGATATCGAATTATGTGCAATAACATGTAAAACGTTATCATGAAAGGAACATTCAAAAAGCAACTCATGTAAACACCTTAATCATATTATTGTCTTATTCTGATTAAGACTAATAATTCCATTAAAGAATGAGTCCTTTTGAAACAGAGATTTTCAATCATGTGGTGAAATTGTGTTCATATCGAAATATACATTGTAGAAAAGTGAAATATGGCAAACTGCAATTCATGGTTGAGTCAAACTAAACAGAATTAAAAATGCAAGAAAATGAAACTGCATCAAGGACAGGAAATGAAACTGGACTCATTGGGACAATTTTATAGGGTCTTCGAGAACAAGTCCAGCCAACATCCTCAGCGAAATCTAAAGCATTCCAAAAACATCACCACCTAATGCCATTTCTGCTTTCTCCAGCATCCCACAGATCACACATCTGTCTAAAATCTTGCCGTTACACATAAACAACTCTGCTTTTATACTGACCAGCATTTTATCGGTGCAAAATAAATCACCCTAGTAGACGAGCCAGGAAAAAAGCGATACAAGCCAACATTTGGAAAAGACCTCCTCCGTCATGTTTTATCTATTCTGAAGTCTGCATATCTCTAAGCTTATCAATCACGTTTGGAGAGCAAGGCCGAGGAGGAACAGCCTCAGAGGAGGGCAGGGGAGGACTGTGAGATGTGTATTAATAAATATAGGGCTAGTTGTGTGTGATGTTGACAGCTGGGTGGTCTGGTCCTCGTCATAACCTTGTGTAGTTACTCCTTACATTCCGCTGTCCAAGAGCTTATCCCCAACAGCACGCACAAAGCTCACACTCACAGCCTTCTCATTGCCAGCCAAATACACCCAACCCGACTCCCCCTTCTCCAGCCAAACTCCAGCTAAACTCTCTGCCCTGCTGGAAGGACATACTGTCTCAACTCTCACTGTATGTGAAACCTGTCTTTTCTGATATGTCTGTTAATAAAGTCATGTTTAGTTGTTTAGAGACAGGTATGGGTTGATAAGAGGTTGCATTTTCACTGTCACAAAAAAAGGAAAAGAAAAGAAAGCTCAGATAACTCGGGTAATAAAAGCCTTTTCTAAAAGTTTCAATTTCCCCTTGAGCACAGATTCTGTAGAGATTATTCTAATAGAAAAAGGTAGACGATTCCACAATTTGGGGCGCACAATGGATAAAGCCCAGTATTAGGGCTGCACGATATTGGGAAAAATCTGACATTGCAATATTCAGTTTTTTTGCAATATATATTGCGATATGTTGTGCATTCAAAGATGAAATCTGCATACCTTGGTTGTAACGATTGGCTATTTGAGTTACTGTTGCCTTTCATTCAGCTCGAACCAGTTAACCACTAACCGCTAACCACTTAAATCACCTTTCTTCCCCATTCTGATGAACTGCAGCAGATCGTCTTGACCATGTCTACATGCTTAAATGCACTGAGCTGCTGCCATGTGACATGTGTGTATATGCTAACTTTTAATAAGCAATTCCAGTTAAAGGGTCACGAAACACCAAAACACATTTTTTGAGCTGTTGACAGTCGTATATGTGTCCCACACTGCTAAAAACACTATTAGGACACCTATATTTCACTAAAAAGTGAAAATTGGTTGTTTTTGCGTTATTTCAAGCAAATTCGTACTTCCGGTTTGAAACGAATTTTTGAAGCTGCGTCATGGTCATGATATAATAGCGTTGTATTCCAGCGTGCAGACTGGGTGTCTGTGCCAGAGTCTGTCTTATTACGTCTTACAGTGTGATGCATTAATGCATGAGTAAGGCTTGGTTCAAACCAATCAGCGCGCTCTATTGTGCAACTTCATTAATATTCATTAGTGTCACAGTGTTTACACTGACAGAGACGCCACGTTGTATTGGCAAAAAAAGCGTAAAGTGTTGCTTTTATAGTTTGCTGCCGTTAAGTTTCGTTTTCATTTTCTCTCTGTGAGAGCTCAGCTGGATCACGTGTGGATTAACAGTGTACGCGACGCTCGACAACAATAACTTACGTGTCTAAGGAGGAACATTGTTTACCTGAGAGCTGTTCTCATCTGCAAACGCTGAGATCCGGATTCGCTTGTAGTATTCTCTCCATAAAGAAGCTTCTCTAGTTGCTGGTGATTGTCCTTTCTCTACAGATTTGGTTAGTGAGCGACCAGCGCTCTTTGTTTATTCAGTTTGTTCGTATCGAACTAAGTTAACTATTGCACCGAGTGTAAACATGTTAGCACCACAACCAAACTTTAACCTCGTGTAGGGTTTTTACCGCATTTTGTGACCGGAATAACACACGCGACTTTCTGACGCTACCTGCCGGTTGCATCCAAGTTTCCGGGAAATGCGGAAGGTTTTTTTCTCATTCGCCGTGCGGTATCAAACATTGCATGAAAAATACACACTTAGAGCAGATCCTCGAATCAAATATCTCGTTTGTCGCGAGGGGCATGAATGAATTCCCTGAATGAAAGAGCCAAACTGCAGTTAAAGTCCACCATTTAATAATTTGGCAAATAATTCGACTACAGATGTCCATGTAGGTTAAACACCATCACTCCTGTGTGTGAGTATTTTGACTGAAACTCGCGCGTGCCCAAATAGACACTCCCACACTCTCCCACTTTAGTTCCTCCGACACTCCCCCCTAAACAGAGCTGGACACGCCCACTTTTCTGACTTTTTCCAAAGTAGAGGTGTGAAAACACCCTGCTGAAAAGAGGGGGTTTCATGGCCCTTTAAACTTTAATTAGGTGAAGGACCCGATTCAAGATCTAGTGACTGAAGCCCCCTGTGAAGTTCATACACATATACTGTACATGAGTGTTTTAGGTATCTTACCTGATTGGATACTGAGTCTTCCTGTGGATTGTGCAGAGCTAATGCCATTATCAAACATGCACTGGTAGATTCCCTGATCTTGAAGCGTTGTTGAAGAGATGAGAAGGGAGGTGCCAGAGATTTTGAGGCGGGGTGAAGAAGATAAAGGGGCAGCGTTAAGGAGCCATGTGATGTTGGGGGTTGGATTGCCACTGGCAGCACAGGTAAATCTCACAGAGGATCCAGCAACTGCAGCCTGATCTGACAAACCTCGCAGGATGGATACATGTGCTGTAAAGTAGAGAAGCATGCTAGAGTTATTTTACACCATAATGATGCAACTACTTCAAATTTTTAAGTGAACTGTTGTTCATGGCTAATTAATATTTTTAGCATCTGATCATTTAGTTGATTGTTGGTTGGAAAGTACACTCAAACTGCTGTTTGTTCAGTCTACTTATTTATCGTGTTTTGAACATATTACAATAGCCAGTTAGCATTTAGGCAGATCACCTACTACACCTTTAAGAAACCTGAGAAAACCCTGATCTCCTAGCATCAAACTGCCCTAAACATTGCTAAAATTACCAAAGTGAAGGTATAAATATTAACTCCTCACCAAGCACATTCACAGTGTAGTTGACACTGACCACAGCTCCACGGTCAGTAGGAACAGAGCAGCTATAATGTCCTCCATCACCCGGCTGAATGTCATTCAACACCAGGTTGCTATGCGATAACATCCTTTTGGAGCTCAGTGATAGCTCTGCCCCATTTTTCATCCATTTGACCTTTGAAGAAAGACTTCCTGATACAACACACTCAAGGGTTAGAGATCCAGACTGGTCCACAGTAAGACTGCGAGGTGTGATGGGATAGACAATCCTTACAGGTGAAGAGCTTTCTGAATCTACGTCAAAGAAATGAAGCAATGGCTTTATTATAGTTTATAACAGTACAATTTATATTTACAGTACACAGAAAATCTAGCATACCAAAGAAATAATAGAATATACTTAATTGAAACTTAGAGAAAGACAAGTCAGTTTGTTCAACCAACCTTTGACTAAGAGTTTAGTGCCATGAGCCTCTACGCGAGTCTCTCGAGTTAAAGGATTATAAGCTCCACATTTATACATTCCCTGATGTTCTGAAGACACAGACACAATCTGAAGGTTCCCGGAGGGCAGTATTAAATACTCGTCTGAAAGAAATACAAAAGAGACAAAGCGTTCAAATGTATCTTCATGCATTTCTGGAGGGTTTGGCATTGCAGATCATCTGATCTACCTGTAGACTGTTCCAGCCATTTCCCCCGTATCCGGAAGCGTGGAAGAGCAGGTGGATTGCTGCGCGGAAGTGGACATTCAATAACAGCAGTGTCGCCCTTATTTACAGTAAATGACCTCCGATGGGTTTCCGCAAACTCCTCAATATCTAAAGGAATAAATCAAAGAGTGATCAATCACTTCATAGCAAAACAGAAATAGGCAGACTAAAGTTTTAGTCAATCTATGATGTAAACAAATCACTGAAAATGCAGTATTGATTTGGATTGTACAGTCCCTGACAAAAGTCTGACAAAAATCTATTTTTGTAGAAAAACCTGCTATTACCTAACTTTTAATTAATCAATTAGCATTAAAAATTGATTCGGACATGGAAGCCATTTCGAAACAGAATCCAACAAACTGTTCTGGTTGACACAGGCACTTCATGTGTCCAGGTCTTGTGGAGCTATGCTCATACCTGCCAACAGGAGTCTCCCGTATATCAGACTCATCTCCCGCCAGCCTCCCGTTGTGTTATTTCTCCCGAAAACTCCTGCAGTTTCACCGCACCCCCCTCCCCCACACACACCTCCGGCCCTTAGCATTTTGGCACAGTCTGTGAAACCCCCAGGTCACCAAATTTGGTATAAGATCCAATCGCAGTGGCTGCCCAAAACACGCTCTACAGGGACTTCAGGTAACCAGGTCTCGTGAAGCTATGCTCATACCTGCCAACACTCCTGTTTATCCCAGGAGTCTCCCATATTTCAGAGCCAAATGTTGGCAGGTATGGGTATGCTGAAGTGGAACATTGATTTGAGCCAACAAATGGTCCACTCAAGCAGTTATCTTGCGAGGTGTGATGATGCGCTGTTGAGTTTAACAGAAAAGAAGCACACTCGCTCAGCACAGTGGAGATTTCTTTAGTTATATAATTTTAGTCATTTGGGATGCAGTGACACACAGTCAGATATTTCATTGAACAGATCAGACACTTTTAAAGCTCATCAATAATAATAAAAGTCGTCGTGCTGCCAGTATTAGAAGGTTTGCTGAAGGTACAGCTGTCGTGCAGTGAGGAGTTTGCGTCTTTAATAATCTACAACAGTTAGCGTTCATTGAACAGTAAAAATGATTAATAAATCCATATAAAGCAGACCCTTAAAAGTCACGTCTCATCTTCAGTTTCGGGTTTAGGCACACTTTGCACTCACACTATAAGCGTACCACACCAAAGCCCAACCTACCTACGCTTTGGCACACATCTTCCTACCGGGCCAGAGTCGGCCAATTGAACCACGCCTGAGCCCGATTCAGAGCACTCACACTTCTCAAACAAACAAGGAAACGTGCCTGGGCACGATTCGGACAGCATAGTGTGAGTGCGCCCTTGGTCTCAGGGTGAATCTTAGGCATGTTTGCAGAGGTCTAGTTGCAGTTTGATGTGAAGGTCTAGTGTACTGGGGTTCTTTTAATGCACACCTGAGACCCAATTAATTCATTATTAGTCACAAGTGAAGCTCATATGACAAGGCAACAACATTCATGTCTTTGCAAAAATTGACTCAATGAGCTTTACCAAGCTGCAAGTATTAGAACACTTTTTAACAGTTTCGTTTTGCACTGAAACATTGTTACAAAAGCTGTTGGGATTAAAATGAGCCATTTCTTATAAAACAATCTTGATCAGAAATATATTTCAGCAGCACTTTAGGTCAATTTGTACACAAGCGACAAGACTTTTGTCAGGGACTGTAGTTAGAAACATTAAACTAGCATAGACGTTCAATTATGCAGTACAGCAATCATTACACAAATCATCTGACCAAAGAATGTGGCAGCGGACCAATCAGACATTTGCAAGAGCTGTGCAATAAACTGGTATATTCATTCGTAGCTGCGGCACTTCACACAAAGACCTTCTGTCAATGTGGTGTTTATATTGGATTGTGAGTGGCGGAGAACATGTGCTTTCCACTGAATAATGCAGCCTTATCTGCAACCTTGATCAGGCCCTGGGTCGAGTGTCGGGGGTACTGTGTCCGATAGGGCGCCCTTCCCGGCATCAGCTCATGGTACGACACAGGAAGCCCCCAGGCTCATTAAGGATACTGCTGAAGAGGTGTCTGGATAAGTGCCAGACTGAAAAAAAAGAACCATTTCCTTCCCCTGCGACACTCATCTATGGTTGGCCATTCTAACAGTGTTAATGGTTCGAGAAATCTGCCTTCTGATACTTCCTGTCTTTCTTCTCCGGCAATCTCTTTGAAGTGCATTGTTGTTTGTAGAATTGATCTTACAGTTCAAAGTGTACTTGTTGGCACAATATACATGTGATCAGATGTGCTTACCTGCAATGGTAACTCGTGCATGCCTGCTGATGATGGAGCCTGTCTCAGAGCGAGCCGAGCACTGGTAGGAGCCTGTGAGAGCCGGTTGGAGGTTTGACAGTGAGAGGGAGTCTTGACTTAGTTCCACTCCAGAATGGTGACTGGGATCTAGTGGTTGCCCTTGAAACAGCCAGCTGATTCTGGCAGTGGCTGGATGTGTTGTGCAATGTAGGTGGACTGAAGAACCTTGCTTCAGAATCGCTGAGAGAGGCTCCGCACGGAAAGAGAAAGAAAGAACAGCTGAAAAATAAAATGAAGTAAATTAAAAACATTTCATCTACATTCTTCAGCCTGCTAGGAAGAATAACTTTGATGGCTGAATGCTGCTTCTTAGTAAGTGTTTCAATTGCAATGACTTTTTTTGAGTGTGATACTCACTTGGGCAGTTGAGGAGCAGAGTATGGCACACACAAAGCACAGCGGACAATAATCTCAGGCCACCGTCCTCCATGACGCTGTTTCACGTCTGTGCACTAACCTGGGGCCTCACACACACCCCCTCCACATAAACTCCACACCTGAAACATAGTCAAACACATTCATTAAAAAATGCTCATGGGCGATACAATATTGATATTTTGTAGGGGTGTCAAAATCAATTGTTTCTTCGATGTACCACAATGCAGAAGTGGACAATTCGTTATTGGTTCATTATTAGATCATTACCGATTATTACGTACTACGTCATTTATCTTATATGCGCTGTCACGGTAGACTATTCGAATGAGGCAAGGGCGAGTATTTAAAATGCTCCAACTACTTGAAAAGCAGACAACTGTGCACAATTCACTGCATGTGCTGGACAGTCTTTCACCAACACTAAAGTACAGCAGAACCAGGAGACACGTATACCTGGTTTATACTTCTGCGTCAAGCGACCGGCGTAACCCACGGCGCATGCAACGCGCGTAGCTGTGCATTTATACTTCTGCGCGCTGTCTCTGTTGGTCTGCATTAACACTTCCGAAACGCTAGTTGGCAGTGAGGTGTAAATGTTTCTCTGTGTCGAGTTTCTTCGCTGCTGGTTTGTTTTTCCTGAACACTTCCGGGATGTACAAGTGGCTCAAACTTGCTCATTTTAAGGCAGAAACCGGCGGACGTGCAACAACTTTAACTATGAGGTAAACACAAAACAAAACTTTCCATCCAGAGCTCCTTCACGGGACTCCACACTTGTAAACAATCGCTCCATCGGGCTCACATCATTCACGCGGCTCTCGGTCCCGCCCAGACTCGTCAGTGCTACCAAGCCGACTAATCACAGAGCTTGCGCTCTGCGTCGTTGCGACGTGTAGTTACATTTTTTGAGAGGTGCACGTCAGCACGTTTGACGCAGAAGTAAAAATCAGCCTTAATTCAATGCTAGAGAGAAAATGAAAGCTCTCTCTCTGTCTCTCTCTCTCTCTCACTTTGGACCTTTGAACTGTTGGCATGTTTGTGAGGTAACTTTTCCTCTCCTCTATTGCTGTTAAAGTGATACTTGTGGACCCTGACACAAGTGTGTCTGTTACTGAAAAGTTTTTTCCATGCCGTCTATCCCAGATCAGCTGTGATTTCTGTGCAATGTACGCTTTATTACACACATACAGACTGTTACCGTGCATTCTTTAGTGTCCATGTCACTCATTGGGGAACAGCGCTAGCAATTTTAGAGGCAATCGCTCTTTCAGTTGAGCGTGTGAACACAATGACCAATCATAGGGATGTAAGAACAAATTTAATTATTAAAGGTACAGTACATATATCTAACTGCTTGTATTAAAGGACAAAATTGCATTACGAATTATATACTGTATAAATATAAATGTATTTAAAAATATTTAATTGAAGAATTCTTGTGTGTGAAGAAAAAAATCTAACTGTGTATAGAAAGCATCATCAATGCACCATGATACAGAACTGAACCCAATCGATGATATGATAATGGTAACTGAACGGAACTGTGAGACCAGTGTAGGTTACCGCCTCTAATATTTTGGTAGCAAGATATGGTTTTAATTACTCCAACAATAACAGTCTTTAAGGTTTTAGACTCTTAAAAAGGTCATAGATAAGTCACTTCTCTTTGAAAGCTGCATCGAGAATTAATGACCATAGTACACATGATACTTGTACAGAAGTGTCATTATTAGTATAAGACAGGGATGTCCAAACTCGGCCCTGGAGGGCCAGTGTCCTGCTGAGTTTAGCTCCAACTTGCTTCAACACACCTGCCAGAAAGTTTCTAGTATGTGAAGTAAGAGCTTGATTAGCTGATTTAGGTGTGTTTGATTAAGGTTGGAGCTAAACTCTCTATGACACTGGCCCTCCAGGACCGAGTTTGGACACCCCTGGTATAAGACGTTTGTAGAGAAGCTGGACTACTTGAACAAGCACGAATCATTAAAGTGCTCTTACACCAGAGGTGTCCAAACTCAGTCCTGGAGGGCCGGTACCCTGCTAAGTTTAGCTCCAACTTGCTTCAACACACCAGCCAGGAAGTTTCTAGCATATCTAATATGAGCTTGATTAGCTTAGGTGTGTTTGATTAAGGTTGGAGCTAAACTCTCCAGGACACCGGCCCTCAAGGACCAAGTTAGGACACCCCTGTCTTACACAGACCCATTCTTTCTACAAAGTTGCACTGTTTTCTGTCTGTAGCTAGTTGAGCTCAGTTTATAGGACAATTTACATATTTCCAGTTAAATCTTAGGAATATAAACAACATCCTAAACATTATTTTTAATAATCTTTAAGACATCCATTAAACACGCATTGATCTCCCAGAGCCCTCCACCCAGGAGAAATTTATTTCTGCTGATCTACGACCCATTCCCACAGAGTGCTTCTCCAGTGAAACAGAAATTCCTGAACCTCTACGCCCCTTCACCCACCCTCAACCAACAGCCCCTCTTCTCCCTTGCTCCCTTCATTTCTGCCCATCTGTGATGGACTGCATTCGAAGGGTCTGCTTGTTGTCTACTCTTAATATCACTATCCTGTCACAGTGCACTGCTTTCTCACAGGCTCACTGTAGCCTGAAGAGCCTCCACATGGCGTTCACACACTCACACACAGTCTCAACCGCCCTAAAAGAAAGACAAGGGGAGCGCCCAAAGGGTGAGACACGGAAAAGAGTGAAAGGAGCGTAATTAGGAGCATTCCTTTTTGCTTTTGAACCCATCCCTCCCCTAGCGCCAGTCCTGTGTATCTGGGCTGCGTTAATCCGGAGGGCCTTTGATCACAGGCTCCTGGTCTGTGAGTGTAGTTTGGGCCGGGGGTTGGCGGACAATGGCCGCCCAGCTGTGATATTCACACTGAGGGTGCCATGGGGCTCTGTGCCCGGCCCAACATCAACCCAAAGGACATGCCACTCGACTGGGTTAAATTAAAGAGGTGATGTCTGGGTGGGACCACTAGAGCTGAACCGGTCTGTGACAGGACACACATGCTCAGTGTTAGTCATACTCAAGCATACCAATTCCTTCTACAGTGTTTGTATTCTCTTTAATGCTATCTTTAATGTTTCTGCAAAATGACACTGAAGATGGGGTGTGATTTATATCTTGGGACCAAACTTGGAATTGGCCTTTTTTGTCAATCACAACAACTCATAGAACCTCAGACACCTGATAGCATTATGCTAAATAAACAAAGAGCAAACTAGCAACCATACTGAAATGCCCAGTCAACTACCCTTGACACCATAGCATTATGACACATCGTTATATGGCGAATAAAGCCTGCCTTCTAGTACAGGAGCCAATCAGTGATCACTATATGGCGAATAAAGCCAGCCTTCTAGTACAGGAGCCAATCAGTGATCGCTATATGCCAAATAAAGTCCGCCTTCTAGTACAGGAGCCAATCAGCAATCGCTATATGGCGAATAAAGTTCGCCTTTTAGTAAAGGAGCCAATCAGCGATCACCATAGAATGTCAATTCTCTGAGGGAGGGGCTCAAACCAAACGTGAGATTCTGCAGGTTTTGTGTGATATGAACATTTAGAAAAGAAACCGTAGAGTCAGTTGTTGTTTTATTTTATTGATTATTTATATCATGAAATTTATTCATAAGCTTGGCTAGTAGTTTTGGAGGATTTGATGTTTCCCTATTCAAACAGAATGCCCGGGAGGCGTTTCAAAGATGACCGCTGAGTGAAATGACTTGCCTTAAAGGGACTTTGTTACAACTCATATTAACCTTGGAAAAGCAATGTGAACTTAAATCATTCCAAAACAATAATGATACATTGCATGAAAAAAAACAAGTGTCAAATGTCTTCACATTTGTTTTTACAAAAGGTGCAAATATCAGTAACATCCCAATATTTGGACAAGAGTGCATTACAGGTGTAAATATTGTGCAACATTTAAAAGTGCACCTGTTTTATTTTATTAGGAATACTAAATGTATGCGTTAGGGCTGGGCGATCTTTCAGATTTTTCCGATTAATTCGAATTTACGTTTTAAGACGATTTAATTTTGAATGAAATCGAGAAATCGCAATTTTTAAAAATATATATATTTAATACATTATAATGGCACCGATGCGCTTGGGTTCACTGTCTGTATGAAGTAGGAAGCATACCAGAAGCAGTTCATATTTCAGCTGGCCCACAGAGCGCCATCTGATTAGTTTCATGTTAAATATAATGTGCATGTGCGTGTTTTGTGTGTGATAGTTTAAACTTTCATGTCCGCGCCGTGTCGCGGCGCTTCTGGTGTGCGACCTGCTTGACTGCCTGTTAAAGCGTGAAGTCATGTAGGATTTTACTTGTTGCACGTCTGTGTGGATTGTCAAGACATATTCCCTCATCAAGTCGATAAACTCGATCTCAACATGTATGAAGGACGTAAAAGCCTGCCATGTGAAAAACCGTGCCGATCTTTTGGTTTGAACACGAGCAGAGGTGAGGGCCAGTAGCAGTGAAAATGAAAGTACCCGCCCCCATGACGTCTATTAGCGGTCCTAGTTGAAAACCTGACAGATCAGCCAGCATAATAGAGTGGAGCAAAGCGCATCAAATGATCAATATTTAAAGGGGGGGAAAAAAAATTATTTAATATATTATTTTATGTTAGACACACATCTGGTGCTTGTATTTGCTCCTGCTATATGTCCACAACTTCACACATTGGGTTAAATTAGGCTTTACAGTTTCCATGTTCAGTCCTTTTTCTTCCACTGTATCTTTTTAAGAAAAAGGCAGCAGCATTACAACCTGTCATTCAATCAGAAGACAAAGTCAAAGCCGAGCTGACAGCCAATCTTTCCTAGGCTCAGCAAAACTAGCAAAAATGCCTCTGTATTCCTGCAACTGCAATATTTACACAAATATGTCTTATTCAAATCTTCAGCAACGCTATTTAACTCGTGAATTTGTTTTACATTTATTTACACCTTGACCGATTTTTGTATGACATGGCCATTAAAAATACAATGTTCCTTAACTAGATGGTTTTTCAAGTTACTTTTAAAGAAAATGTTACTTCAGTCATGTTGTTGTAATGTTTTGAGAAGACCAGTAACACAAT